CCCCCCCCTAGTGTTGATCTCTAGATGCTAGCCCCCCCCCCCCCCTAGTGTTGATCTCTAGATGCTAGCCCCCCCCCCCCCCCCGCCCCCTAGTGTTGATCTCTAGATGCTAGCGCCCCCCTAGTGTTGATCTCTAGATGCTAGCCCCGCCCCCCTAGTGTTGATCTCTAGATACAGTAGGTATCAGTTATAGTGTGGGTGTTTGAAAAACAACTTTCTATTCTTATTCCCGATATTTCTTACACACGATAAATCAAGTGCTTGCCATGCTTCTACATTCATATCTGTAACTGATCGATCCTCTTCAATTTTCCGTACCATTTTGCTCAAAGTCTGTACTGCGTACGAAGGAGTGATTTTCCGTATAAATCGGAAAAATTATCCTCAAAAATACGGAAGGTTGACAGCACTGATATCATATGCATGTGCGCAGAGTCAGGAAGATCATCGTACATGTATCGACTTACGTAGTGCCACTGTGCATGCGGCTGGTCATAGTCACATAGGCTTACCATGTGGCTGGTCATAGTCACATAGGCTTACCATGTGGCTGGTCATAGTCACATAGGCGTACCATGTGGCTGGTCATAGTCACATAGGCTTACCATGTGGCTGGTCATAGTCACATAGGCTTACCATGTGGCTGGTCATAGTCACATAGGCTTACCATGTGGCTGGTCATAGTCACATAGGCTTACCATGTGGCTGGTCATAGTCACATAGGCTTACCATGTGGCTGGTCATAGTCACATAGGCTTACCATGTGGCTGGTCATAGTCACATAGGCTTACCATGTGGCTGGTCATAGTCACATAGGCTTACCATGTGGCTGGTCATAGTCACATAGGCTTACCATGTGGCTGGTCATAGTCACATAGGCTTACCATGTGGCTGGTCATAGTCACATAGGCTTACCATGTGGCTGGTCATAGTCACATAGGCTTACCATGTGGCTGGTCATAGTCACATAGGCTTACCATGTGGCTGGTCATAGTCACATAGGCTTACCATGTGGCTGGTCATAGTCACATAGGCTTACCATGTGGCTGGTCATAGTCACATAGGCTTACCATGTGGCTGGTCATAGTCACATAGGCTTACCATGTGGCTGGTCATAGTCACATAGGCTTACCATGTGGCTGGTCATAGTCACATAGGCTTACCATGTGGCTGGTCATAGTCACATAGGCTTACCATGTGGCTGGTCATAGTCACATAGGCTTACCATGTGGCTGGTCATAGTCACATAGGCTTACCATGTGGCTGGTCATAGTCACATAGGCTTACCATGTGGCTGGTCATAGTCACATAGGCTTACCATGTGGCTGGTCATAGTCACATAGGCTTACCATGTGGCTGGTCATAGTCACATAGGCTTACCATGTGGCTGGTCATAGTCACATAGGCTTACCATGTGGCTGGTCATAGTCACATAGGCTTACCATGTGGCTGGTCATAGTCACATAGGCTTACCATGTGGCTGGTCATAGTCACATAGGCTTACCATGTGGCTGGTCATAGTCACATAGGCTTACCATGTGGCTGGTCATAGTCACATAGGCTTACCATGTGGCTGGTCATAGTCACATAGGCTTACCATGTGGCTGGTCATAGTCACATAGGCTTACCATGTGGCTGGTCATAGTCACATAGGCTTACCATGTGGCTGGTCATAGTCACATAGGCTTACCATGTGGCTGGTCATAGTCACATAGGCTTACCATGTGGCTGGTCACATAGGCTTACCATGTGGCTGGTCATAGTCACATAACGTTAGGCTTACCATGTGGCTGGTCATAGTCACATAGGCTTACCATGTGGCTGGTCATAGTCACATAGGCTTACCATGTGGCTGGTCATAGTCACATAGGCTTACCATGTGGCTGGTCATAGTCACATAGGCTTACCATGTGGCTGGTCATAGTCACATAGGCTTACCATGTGGCTGGTCATAGTCACATAGGCTTACCATGTGGCTGGTCATAGTCACATAGGCTTACCATGTGGCTGGTCATAGTCACATAGGCTTACCATGTGGCTGGTCATAGTCACATAGGCTTACCATGTGGCTGGTCATAGTCACATAGGCTTACCATGTGGCTGGTCATAGTCACATAGGCTTACCATGTGGCTGGTCATAGTCACATAGGCTTACCATGTGGCTGGTCATAGTCACATAGGCTTACCATGTGGCTGGTCATAGTCACATAGGCTTACCATGTGGCTGGTCATAGTCACATAGGCTTACCATGTGGCTGGTCATAGTCACATAGGCTTACCATGTGGCTGGTCATAGTCACATAGGCTTACCATGTGGCTGGTCATAGTCACATAGGCTTACCATGTTGCTATGCAACAATACAATCATGAGTTACATGTACATGACCACAACAGTTGAACCCGCAGCAGCACTACGCAGCACTACGAGTACAACGCACCGTGAGTCAGATCAGAACTGCATTGGACAGATGTTATTACTACAGGCGATACACTTTGTACTAATCTGGCATGTTTCGCTTCACAAAGTCCCGATATATTCTACCAAGGGTGCATAAACTAGAGTATGCAACTGTGGTTATGGATCAGTGGGCGGCGCGCTGCCTTCATTACGTAACTTGCCTTCATCACGCTCTGAAAGCATGCATTCAATTTCTCGTACGAGTCCATCCGTTTTTGCTCGATTCGTTCCAGTACCTACCCGATCTCTAAATGTTGGCGCGTGAACTCAAGTTCCGTACGAAAGTCCATTTCAAACCAGAGGGAAAGTGCGGTGCTTGATTTTCCGCAGTGCGCGGACTGCAGCTGAACATGAGAGTTCATTCTTGTAGGCAGTATATTCTTTTACACGACCACGCTATAACCGATACACACTGTACATGTACTAGCCCCCCCCCCCCCCCCCCAGTGTTGATTTCTAGATGCTATTTCTAGATGCTAGCCCCCCCCCCCCCCCCACCCTAATGTTGATCTCTAGATCCTAGCCCCCCCCCCTAGTGTTGATCTCTAGATACATGTACTAGCCCCCCCTATGTCGATCTCTAGATGCAAGTCCCCCCCCCCTCCCCCTAGTGTTGATCTCTACACTGTAGATGCTAGCCCCCCCCCCCCCCCCCCCAATGTTGATCTCTAGGTGCTAATCACTTCAGCGATGGGCAGTGTAAGATGTTTTCTTCGTATGGTATTCAGCAGTGTGTTGGGACTGTCTTGTTGTCGTTGTTGTCGTCGTTGTCATTTCTGTCTTCTTTTTTTGTTGTGGTGAGGACAGGCGGCAAGATGCTGACAACAGCGACAGTCCATCAAGTAGCACTGCATCATATCCCATTCTATCATCACACACTTCTCAACACAAGCTGATGCATGCTGGCAGCCGTGACCATGACCATGATGATGATGATGATGACGATGATGACGATGACAGTGCACCAGCAGGTACTGTGACGCTGACGTCTCTCCTGTTGAAGTCTACAGCCAGCACTGAGGCAGCGGTTACTTCTGCTATGTGCTCTCCTGCACCTATGCACCCTACTGCTAGTGACTCCTGTCATGCTGGTCAAGATCATGCTGGTCAAGATCATGCTGGGCAAGATCATGCTGGGCAAGATCATGCTGGGCAAGATAGCCATGTTCACTGTTGATCATGCTGCTTGGTGACACTCCTGCACTCCTGGCAAGAACGTTGCAAGGTACAGTCCAATACATGCCAACCTGGAGGCTTGAGCTCCCTGGACAACGAGGCTGAATTCCCTTGATTTTGACTGTTTTCCCTGGACACCAATTTTTTTAGCACATCCGTCATCATGGTCATACGCAGATGTATTTTTCATGACTGCTGTAGAAAAAAGGATGTCATTGCATTGAGCTGTAACTGCACAAGTAAAATAATTTCTGTTGACTATCGATACAATCTGGCTCACAGTTGAGGACTTCCTCTTTCGATTACATGTAGGAGAAACACGAGGACGAATTGTGGAGTCCAATGCCAAGCTGCACGTAGATTTCTACTCTCGAACGAGTTACATTTGTGGACACGAGCGATTGCGCGGTGTCTTCTATGCGCTACCACGTGCTGTGTACGCACTTACAACGGATCTAGTTCGACGAAACACTGAAAAATCGTCGTAAAAATGAGAAAAACATCGATTTCAAAAGTTCCATCTCAATCCCGGCATTTTCACAGGACATCCCTGGATCCCGGGGACAAACACCCTATGTTCTGGACTGTCTGGACGGTTGGCATGTAATTGTATGCCTGAGTGTTTGTGTTGTACATACTATGGTACAGTAGAACGCCGATTATCCAGACGTCAACTATCCGGATGATCGATTATCCAGACGTCAACTATCCGGATGATCGATTATCCAGACGTCAACTATCCGGATGATCGATTATCCAGACGTCAACTATCCGGATGATCGATTATCCAGACGTCAACTATCCGGATGATCGATTATCCAGACGTCAACTATCCGGATGATCGATTATCCAGACGTCAACTATCCGGATGATCGATTATCCAGACGTCAACTATCCGGATGATCGATTATCCGGATCGCTTGGTAAGGCTGGAAAATAAAAATAAACAATTAGGCCACACTGAAGAAGGTCTGTGGTTCGACTCACCCGACCGACCGTACATTTTTCAGCCCGACCGTAACTTTTTTTCGGCGGGCTGTCGTGTGACTGACGTACGTGGACTGAACACGTCCACGTCTACGTGCTGTGCAGCGTGAGTCTGCGGACGCAGGCGGCTCCTTTTGCCAGTTTTGGACTTGACTTGTAGTTGTACTGCAGTGCAGTGCCGTGAGTGGTAGATTCTACGACTGCTAGCTGCCTTGTGCTGGTAGTAGAGTCTACTCGATACGACCACCGGCAGACTGGCGAGACTTTTTGAAGTGACCGTCCGGTTGAGAGTGATTGCCTCGTTCCAGATTAAGGACGGCCTTCTGTTTTGGGATGAAGGACAGACGAGATTGCACTTTCCTCGTGTATTGGGAACGATATTTCATTTTCACCTGTACCGGTAAGTTGCTGCTCCATGTGTGCAAGCACAGGAAGCGTCGATGGAAAAAGCCCATGTATTCGTGCACGCCGACACCAAACTAGCAATACATGTACATGTACCGGTACATTGTACAATTTGTACTTCGATTGAGTTCGAAGTAGTTCCCGAACTTACTTTCAACTCGCATCGTTCTTCATTTGCTTGATGATTTGGACAGTCAGAGTCACCGCTTGAAGTTATTCTCTTCTCGTTCCAGAGCTACACAATGTTTCAAAGTATTAGCCAGTGATCCCTTTATACAACATGTATGGCATAACACTGCGTAATAATGCCGATGTACTGGGTGTCTAAAGGCAGTACAGTGTATTTACATGTACTAAAAATATATATATTAAAAAAAAAAATCCGCCCGCCCGCCCGTAAAAAAAATGTCCATGTTAGTCGAACCACACACCTTCTTTAGTTTGGCCTTAGCAGCTTTTTCGATGTTTTTGCTGATTGTCCCCACTCGGAGCACTATTTCAGCGATACACAGGATGTATTACAACAGGTTGGAGTCAAAATGGTTATGTATAGCGATAGTGGCATTTTTAGGAGCTTGAGTGTGCCTACGAGTTGTTCCTGTTGTACTGCCGAAAAGAATGAAAAATGATGAAAACATGCGGGAATATGCATGTGTTTACATAGATGTATGACTGCTCCCTTATCCCAACATTCTTCTCATCCGAACCTCCTGGAGACAGCCTGCGCCCCGAGGGATGCGGATACCAGTAATCGGCACTCTACGGTACCAGTGAAGCTTATCCTAATCCCATCCACTCTGATCTAGCCACCCACACTAGTAGCAAGTATTACCTTCACTGGGGGCAGGGGTAACTGCTGTTGGATCCCAGAACGGATACCTTGATGCTGTCAATCCTTTTTTCTGCACCTTGTCTTTGCCCACTTACTGAGGTGTGGTGAGCCCATAAGTGGGATCATTTCCAAGTCCACCCATAGTTTGGGGATTTCAGGGGGAGTCGGCCGTTGTGTGGTTCAATGGCCAATTGAGTCATCTTTCCTAGATTCCTTTTGAGTCTCTCTCCCCTCTCCCGGAGGGAGGCCCACGTGACCAGTTTTGGCAGTAAGCAAGACCACGTACAAGTGTGTGTGTGTGTGTGTGTGTGTGTGTGTGTGTGTGTGTGTGTGTGTGTGTGTGTGTGTCTGTGTGTGTGTGCGTGTCTGTGTGTACGGCTCCCTGGTTTACACACGCACGCACGCACACACACATCCTGGTCCTGGTCCTGGTATACACTGCCATGTAGGTCACGTGTTTCTCGTTGAGCGAGACGGAGACGAGAGGAGACATGAGCGTTGGTGACGGGATAAGTCGTTTCGCCTTTTGAAACGCCTCCGGCAATTCTGACATTGCAATTGGAACTTGTCCCTTTCATCAGCAGTTGGGCGCCTGGTGGATCGGTTGCAGTTGTGGATAGCAAAGCCCCGGATCGACTTACAGCAGCGTTCACAAATGGGACAGTGAGCGGTACAGCACGGTTTCCGAATACATAGGCGTACAGGTGAAGAGCTTGTGGCATTGGCAACATTCGGGGCAGAATTGGACTGGACACAGCGATGGACTGCAATGCCACCCGCACTCCGAAACCATCGGTGACACTGGGAGCACTGGCGGCTGTTGGCTTGCTGCTGGACTGGTTTACGCCGTTCCATGATGCACTTGTGGCGGGCGATATCTTGCTGCCGAGCAAATGCACGCCGGCACACCTCGCAGACTATCTCCCGAGCCGGTTTCTGAGCTGGTTGTATTGCTCGATAAGCTTGCCGCCACTCAGATCGTTCCTGCGCTGTGTCAAACCATGACTCGTCGGCGATGTTTATTCGTCGCAGGTCGACCCTAATTGCGTCTCGCCATCGTTTCCGCGGGCCACACGCTGGGCGTGGTGGCAGCAATGTGCCAAACAACAACATCCGCGGCATCCGCTCCTCAGGCATGCGTACCACGTGCCCAAGCCATTCCAGTCTTCTCTGCATGAGGCGGTCGGGGATATCCAGTGGGTTTGCTGCATTCCATGTTTTCAGAATGGTGTCCTTGGCTATCTTCAAGTCCCACACATCCCGCTGTGCAACACTCATGATGGAAAGAAGCGACCGGTAGTAGAAGGTCGTGATCCGTTGCACATCACTTTGCAGCGGTACCCACGTCTCCGCACAATAGAGCAGTAAGGACAGAACACAGGCCTCGAAAACCAGACGCTTGGTGCGCAGAGAGAGATTGTGGTCATTGAAGACAGCATGACGGAGCGCTCCAAAAGCACGGGAGGCAGATGAAACACGGGTCGATACATCTTTGTGAGATCGGCCAGAATCATGGATAACAGCACCCAGGTATCGGAACTCACGCACACATTCCAATGTGCCATTCTTCACAGGAAGAGGAAGTCGGTCATCATCCGTGATACCATAGCCAACCGCCATAAATTTGGTCTTGTCCAGATTGACGGTCAGACCAAATGCAGACGAGACATCGATGAACATATCCAGAGCAAGAGCAGCAGCAGTACGGGTAGTGGCAAACAGTGCAGAGTCGTCAGCGAACTGGCAGTCGTTGATGGTAGTCTGATCGTCAGTACGCTTTCTCTTGAAATAAAGCGAGCCCCCAGGATTGAATGCCAACGGGACGCCGATACCAGGCACATGCTCGACCACTCTGGACCATCTCTGGAAAACAGCCCACATGAATATGTTGAATAAGACTGGTGCCATACAACAGCCCTGCCGCAAACCACTCTTCACTGCAATGGGTTGGATGGGTGTTGACCCGATGGAGAGAGTAGCCGACATGGAGGTGTGAAACGACTTGATGATGTTTACGATGTTACTAGGGACCCCTGCCTTCGCGAGAATCAGCCACATGCATTCACGGTTTACTGAGTCGTACGCCTTACGTAAATCAACAAAGACAACGTATCCCGGGCAGCGATGTTCGTACAACTTCTCCAGGACTTGGCGAACTGCAAACACCATGTCTGTGCAAGATCGACCCTTACGAAAGCCGCACTGGGAGTCGGGTAGAATATTCTCCGCAATAATCTGTAATCTGGACTGAAGTACTCGAGCAGCAACTTTCCCAACAACATCCAGGAGTGATATGCCACGCCAATTATCACACAATGAGAGGTTACCTTTCTTTGGGATTGGCACAAGGTTGCAGTCTACCCATTCCTGCGGAACAGCCTCGTCATCCCAGACATGGTGCAACAGATCCAACAGTGCCTCCATGAAACTCTCACCACCCGCTTTGACCAACTCAGGCAGGATAGCTGAGGCGCCAGCGGCCTTGCCGTTGCTGAGTTGTCGAATAGCTCGCGCCACCTCTGCTGCATCCGGCTTGCCAGCGATGTTCTGGTTGATAGGCTGCTGGTCTATTTCGTCAATGGCACATGGATCAAATGTGCTAGGGATGTTGAGTACGCCATCGAAATGTTGGTACCATCGTCCACCTTGTTCCTCCACAGATTTGCAGATGTTGCCATTTGCATCCCTAATAGCGGTAGTAGACACAGGGCGTAATCCCTGCTTGGCAGCCTGCATATCCTTAACACATGCCCACACCCGTGAGGAACTAAACCGTGCACCATCAAGAGATTTGGCTTTGTTGGTGAACCAGGAGTTCTTGGCAGAGCGGACAGCAGCTCTTGCCTTACTCCTGGCAGCCTTGAACCTGTTCCACGTGTCATCAGACCTGCCACTTGAAATCCATTCTTGATATCGCTGATTCCTTTCATTCAACAAGGGTTCGAGGGTATCTTTGCTCTCAGTAAACCAATCTGGTTGACGACGTTTCTGAAAACCGAGGGTCTCCTCTGCAGACTCGGTGACCGCGGTGCGCAACCTCGACCATTTGCATTCAACGGTGGTATGTTCATTCGGCTGTTGCAGACTGTTTGTGAGGCATTCACGATAGACATCAGCATACACACACACACACACATCTTCGGTCAGTATGTGTCCCAATCATTATTTTTATCTGGTGATCTTTGACCGCTTTGTCTCCACTTCAACGGCGAGATTTTGCGGCAGCGAGGCTTTGCACCTCTCCGAACTGTGTGATCACAAGATTCTGTGGAGATAAATTATAAGAGAGTGTCAATACAATTCTACTACACATAACAATGGGGCATAGTCATACTAGATATCGGTGGATGATGTATGTGTGCATGTGTGTGTGTGTGGGGGGGGGGGGGGGGGTGCTAGTAGATAGAGCAGTTGCACCAGTCAGGTCATCATTACCTGCAGGAGAGAAATGTCAATACCTTCGTGCAATAGTTAGGTTTGCAAGAGAAAGAGAAAGAAGAGATTGTCATCCTAGTATTTTAATGGTTCTACAAAGAACAAGAACGGGTTGAACATATGAGGGAAATTTATCTTAGTGCCATCAAATGAGAAATGAAAAGTTTAATGCAACCCTCGTATATGCCTCTGCTAAACAATTCTGGATTATTAAATTCTGATTGCACGGTCAGGTTATCAGGACACAAGGAAGCCCGGCGTTGTCTAGCAGGGTTAACAGGTTGCAGTGTATGAAAATGTCGCCACCAGAGCAGAGTTGAAAGTATTGAACATGCCCGCACCTAACATAAACCGCTCTAAAGATCTGCAAGCCCTACGGAAGAAATATCTGGATAATGCCAAGCAAAAGGGTGTAAGAAAGAGATAAAGCAAGAAAAGAAAGGATGGTGATGGGTCTCAGAAACTAAACTATGAAGGCACAATGCCGCAGAGACGGGGAGCATATTATTGCTGCTGTTGTTGTTGTTGTTGTTGTTGTTGTTGTTGTTGTTGTTGTTGTTGTTGTTGTTGTTGTTGTTGTTGTTGTTGTTGTTGTTGTTGTTGTTGTTGTTGTTGTTGTTGTTGTTGACATCGTGGTCGCTGTTGTTATAGTTACCATATGTGTGCGTGTATATGTGTTGACTGAAGTAAACAATGTTCATTCTTGCATTGCTATGTTTCTCGGTACCACTCTTCAAAGGCAAATGAGAGTGCTGCATAAACAAGAGCAGAGCAGCTCACCAGTAAACTTTCATCACATGTCTCCCGGCGTCTGCCGGCGGATGAATTCTTCATATGGCATATCTCTTAGTGGCTGCTCCTGGTTGACGTCGACCTTCTGCTCGTGCTCGTGCTCCTGTGCTTGCTGCTGCTGCTGCTCTGATTCTGGTTGCTCCTCTTGCTGCTGCTGCTGCTGCTGCTGCTGTTGCTGCTGTTGTTGTTGTTGTTGTTGTTGTTGTTGTTGTTGTTGTTGTTGTTGTTGTTGTTGTTGTTGTTGTTGTTGTTGTTGTTGTTGTTGTTGTTGTTGTTGTGGACACGTATCTGTACCTGTGGGTGATGTTGGTTGCATTTCACCAGCTTGCGTCTTAGAAGCAGCTTGTGTGCTGTAGGCCGTTGCGTCTTGATCTTGAACATGTAGCCGCCACTCACTGTAGTCTTCTTTGACTAACGCAGCAGCAGTAGTAGCAGCAGTAGTAGCAGCAGCAGTAGGAGCAGCTGTAGTAGTAGGAGCAGCTGTAGCAACAGGATTGTAAAAGGCATTTGTCTGACTGTACGCATGCTGTGGAAAATGATGCTGAGCGGTTCTGGTATAGGCACCATGCTCACAACCAGACTCACTGCTGTATTCATTGGCTTCGTCTGAAAAGTTGTTTTGTGACCTGTGGTGGTAGAGCTGCTCATATGCTGATGGATAGTCCTCTTCACGTGAGCTTCTGCATGTCCTCGCTTCATCACTCCAGGCTTCATCTGAACCATTATCCCATGGCACATTCTTCTTTCGTGATCCCACTGTTCCAGCACTAGCTGCTGCTGTGGCTGCTGTTGTCGTTGTAGGATGAGTCCACGCACTGGCATCTTTCCATTCTCTGGATCTTGGCGCTTTCATTGATAATGCCCTCTTGACATTGCGTCGGCGTGACTTGAGCGGCACCATTTCGGGGACATTCTCGTTCACTGCTAAGGAGTCTCCAGGCGCAGTTGCTCTTGATGTATTTGATGTATTTGTATCTTTCATACTGGCTGGTATAGCGGCACGTGCGCGTCCCTTCCGCTTAATACTGCTGTGACGCTGGTTAATACTGCTGTGACGCTGGTTAATACTGCTGTGACGCTGGTTAATACTGCTGTGACGCTGGTTAATACTGCTGTGACGCTGGTTAATACTGCTGTGATGCTGGTTGTCGCAGTGTGGGTTCCATGGAGTGTGAGCTTGGCGTACCGATTGTGACCTGGACAAGACGTTTCCGCTCCGGGAGCCATTAGAGGCCGGAGGCAGGTTGAAATCAATGTGAGAATGCTCTCCTGTCATGTCGGATTTGCCAGCTGGGCCCGTAGTAAAAAAAGTGTAAGCTTTACCTGCAGAACGCTTGCCGCTTGCTTTGTTCTTGGTTTGTTCAGTTGGTCGATCGAAGTGTGGGTGAGAGTATTCTGCAGCTAGGCTGCCATTACCAGCCACCATATCTGCAGGAAATGAAGCGTACTGCTTACTCAGAGCATACTTGTCACTTGCTTTGCTAGTATCTTTGAATTTAGCATATAGCAATTGGTGAGAAGAATCCGGATCAGATGCACTTGCCATGGAGTCACATGAAATCGCAGTTGTTGGGTCTGTTTGAGATGAGACTTTTCTCTGTCGTTTCTTTCCTCCTGTATTCATTCTAGAATACTGGAGTTCTTCAGTATTGCAGTCCTCATACGTTATTGAAAACATATCCGCCTCACTCAGGCCTTGGTCGATTGCCACAGCTGAAAAACTTTCTCTATCACTGCCTGAGTTTTTTCGCCATCTTCTAGAATTTCCAGGTGGAGACATGCTCAAGTTTGTGCCAGTAGTGTCAGTTGATATGCGTCGGAGATTGCTGCTATCATACTGCCTTGACCTTGATAAGCCTGCATATGTAGAGAAAAAACTGGTTTCTGCAGCAGTTATACCATAGCCGATGCTCTCCAGGCTGTCAACCGGCGAAAGTGTATAGTGAATGTCTACAGGAGCCTGGGCGTGATGAGTGGTGCGAGTATCCAATCCACCTGGAATAACGAGACTGTAAACGTTTTCATGCTGGACTGCTGCTCTTGATGATGACGACGATGTTTGCAACAATGCTGCCATTCTATCCTTCTCCTCAGGTTCCCACTCTTCCAACGCTGTTAGTTCTGCGCACTTCTTGTCTGCTTGCCATGAATTCAATTCATCCAGAACAAAGTATTCTTTTCCTTGCATAGATCCAGCATGGAGATGATCAGACAGTGCGTATGCATCACTGTATGGATTTTCCAATGCTGTTACTTGACTTGACCTGGATGCAATAGACGCACCACGGTGCGCACGCCTGTCTAATTCTGTTTCGTGTGCTGGTGTATCTACATAGCTGTGTGTAGCTTGTGCCCAGGCCGATTCAGCCCGTCCACTGTGACTGACTTCAACAGCCGCTTCGCCATGTATCCGTCTTTTGTAGTTTTCCAAAACTTCTTTGACATTCAACGGCGCTGTAGCCTTGTGATGTCGACGGTGCAATTGATAGGAAGCAAACAGAATGAAACACACAGCCACTGTTATCACAATTACGACACCAGTGTTAGTCGAAAATGAAGATTTCGGCCCAAAGCCAGGAGCTCCAGCTGTACTTGTACTAGGAGTAATGTTAAAACTAGCGGTGGAAGTGCTGCTGCTGCTGGCTGAACTGCTGGCTGAAGTGCTGGCTGAAGTGCTGGATGAAGTGCTGCTGGCTGAAGTAGGATGTAGTTGTAGCGTACACGAGAACCCATCACCAACATAACCCTGCAGGATGATACAACTACACCGGTACCCACCTATTGTATTGATACATTCAGCGTTGCTATGACAATTGTGAATCTCTGCAGCACACTCGTCTTGATCGTGGCACGTGTTTCCACCTATCTTAGGTTTGCTGTAGCCATAGTTACATACACATTCGAATGAGCCTTCAGAATTGGAACATTTACTGTTCTCAGGGCAGGTGGAAGCTGCAGCTATTAAACATTCATTGATATCATCACATCTAGTCTTTGGAAATCCAGTGAAACCAGATAAACAGTTACACTCATATGTACCTGGTGATTTTGTGCACTTTGTGTTAGGGCCGCAGTCATTGGACACTGCCTTACACTCATCCTGCTCACATTGTTTTGTTAGATTGTTGTAGTATGCATTGGTGCTACAAGGACACCTGTAGCTACCAGCTACATTCTGACATACAGAGAACTGTCTACAGAGCGGCTGAGAAGACAAACACTCATCCACATCAGTGCAGTTCTGCTGCTGCTGCTGCTTGCTGCTGCTACTGCTGGAGTTGGAATAGCCAGATAGACAGTGGCATTGATAACTGCCAGGTGAGTTGTAACAGACACTGTTGTCTCCACAAATGTTGCGCGTTTGCACACACTCATTGACATCTTGGCAGATGGTCGAGTTGATAGGTTTGGCATAGCCCAGGAGACATACACAGTTGTAACTGCCGTCAGTGTTCTGACATGTAGAGGACTGACTACATGGACTAGAAGATGCCGGATCAGGCAAACATTCATCAATGTCCTTGCAACCCAGTACCAATGCGTTCCCAGAGAATCCAGCTTTGCACGCACAATTATGCGTGGCAAAGGTGTTATGACAGATGGTGTTATTCGCACAGAAATGAAGGCCATCGCGGCACTCATCAATATCAATACATGTGTCATTAGTAGCTTTACCAGTTAGACCAAATGGACAGCTACATTCATAGGAACCTGCAGTATTAGAGCACAGTGCATTCTTACTGCATTCATGCGTTTGGCTTGCACATTCATCCCTATCCAAGCACGCTGATGCAGAAGCCACAGCTGAGGTTGCTACTGCCGTTCGTCGGTAGAATCCTTGCTGACATCGGCACAAGTAACTACCAGCTTGCTCGATACATTCTTCGTTCCTGTGACAGATACTTGTGTTAGCACATTCCGGTATATCGACACAGACACGCATAGCTGAAGAGTTGGTAGCAGCAGCAGCAGCAAATCCATGGCTACATTGACATTGATAACTAGCAAGTGTGTTTCTACAAGTAGCTGAAGAATGGCAGTCATGTTGCATAGTCAGACATTCGTCAATTTCCTGACATTGTGTTGAAGAGACATTTGCGTAACCAGTGGAACATAGACACTGATAACTGCCATGACTGTTCATACATGAATGTGGTTTACAGAGGTCCGGTTGGCCAGTACACTCATCCACATCAGCTATACACTCATTAGCAGACGAGGACACATTCAAACCAGTCGGGCATGAACAACCATAGCTACCTGGCTCATTAACACACTCAAATGTGTCCGAACAATTATGTAGCCTGTCATTGACATAGACAAGCAAACAGGTGAACACAGACATACACACAAACACACATGTGCACACACAGACACAGACACATGTACACACACACACACACACACGCACATGCACATATACACACGCACACATCCATATGCACACACACACACACACACACGCACATGCACACACACACACACACACATGCACACACACATACACACACACACACACACACACACACACACACATATCAACAACAGCATCAGCAATGGCACAGCTTTAACAATGGCAGCAGCAGTCATAATTAATTTTAGTCATTAATAACTTTATACCCACTACTGTAGAGGCAGAAAATTTCGTCGGTCAATAATTTCGTCCAACTCCAAAGAAAAGGAGTTCGTCCGGTTGAAAATTTCGTCCATGGATCATAAGAGTGTATAGAAAAGCTGGACAAATCGATATTCGTAAAATAGCAATGAAAAATATCAATTGTGCACTCATAATCATGTATAAACAATTAAAATGAAACAATTCCAGAACGTTTTCGTGTGACCATCATCAGTGGAACATCGTCACATAGTAAGAATCACTAAAACAACCAGTTATATAGCTAGAGTAACATGAAAAGAAGCGTGAGAATGCAGCACAGCTAGCGGTTATGCATAACGCGTGTAGTGTGAACCTTTGCAGTGTATCTGAGAATGGTAGCAGTAGATGCAGGTGTTGGAAGCTGTATATATTCGCACACGTGACCCTGTTCTATGCAAGCAAAAAGAAAATGTTGTAGCACTCACACTTTTTAAATAATACGCACTCACCAGTTTTTGTTCACACGCACTCACAGCTGCCACATTCATCTACTGCTACCATTCTCAGATACACTGCAAAGGTTCACACTACACGCGTTATGCATAACCGCTAGCTGTGCTGCATTCTCACGCTTCTTTTCATGTTACTCTAGCTATATAACTGGTTGTTTTAGTGATTCTTACTATGTGACGATGTTCCACTGATGATGGTCACACGAAAACGTTCTGGAATTGTTTCATTTTAATTGTTTATACATGATTATGAGTGCACAATTGATATTTTTCATTGCTATTTTACGACTGTTGTCTCCTCGTCGGTTATTTAAATCGATATTCGTCCTACATTTAATTTAGTCCAAAAGCTCCTTGGACGAAAAAGACGAAATTAAATTCCAGACGAATATTTCTGCTTGTACAGTATGTAAATCCACCTTTCATACAAATTTCCACTCAAACACAATCACGAGCTAATGAGTTTTTTTTAATGCGTTTTCTTTTGCATACATACAAGTATAAACACACAGGGATAAAGAACCAGCGTAAAAACCAGCGTAAAAACTTGGATAACACTCCTTTTTAGAAGAGAGGCCCCGAAACAGGAAGGTCTCCGTGTGAAAAATTGCTCTCCACAGACCACTTCAAAAAGAAAACTTGGAAAAATACGGCAAAGCAGGAATAAGCAGTATTTGAAACAGCAATGATGTGAATCCCAAGCAACCCTGTACCCCATCCCGTTTACACCCAGCCACAGTGCTGCAGGTGGTGAACCTTGTTGCAACAGTCGTGTATCCAGAATATACAATATCCAGAGAGAATCAAATGGAGGAAGACTGAGGTCCAACGAAAGGTGTTTGAGTGTCAGTTTGTATGAGAGGTGTACTTACATAGGAAGAATGCCTCGGCTGTGTTTTATAGGCAATAAAACAAGTTCTAAAACTGAAGAGCGCACGTGTCTTTATTCCCTATAAGAAATCAGGCTTGGCTGATTTATCCAATACCTAACGTTATGTGAAGTCACATGACCACGAAAAGACAGCATATGAAGACACCGAGGCTGAATTCACCTGACAGAATTCAGTCAGATTTTTCTTGGCTGAGAGGTACTTTGCAGACAGGAGAGGAATCCCCCCCCCCCCCCCCCTAACTAAGTTAGCGATGTTCTGCTCTAGGTTACAGGAAGATTCCCGGGAATACTTTTCTTGGTTCCTGTAGGAACCTATTCTGCTCTACGTTCATGTAAGGGAATGAATGTGTACTGAGATGTCCTGTTCCAAATTTGGCATTTTGAATTCACCTAGCAGATCCGTTCGCATTTTCTTTGTGTGTGCCACAGCGTAGAGAACCTCACCTCCGCATGGAAATCTGGAAATCTGGACCAAAAACACGCGACGCCATAGACGTAACCCAGACACCTGTTTTCTATGCGATTTCTCTGTGTTTAACGTAGAACAGAGCCTCACTATTTCAACGGGAATAGAAAAAGATGCCGGTAGTTATCGCTGAATGGCTGAAAAGAGTGCAGTGTGACTGTAGCATTATCGCCATGCACACGTGCAGACCCGTCAAGTTCATTTTTTCTTTGGTCGGGAGATCTCCCTCCAAGCCGGGTAGCCAGGTACTAGGTGGCAGGTCGGTAGGCTTTCAAAGGAGTGTTTTTCTTTTTCTTTTTTACATCTATACATTTGTTCATGCAGTACACAGAACGACATTCGAGCACAGATGACAGATGACTGCACGCGCACGTAACACACACACACAGATGACTGCACGTAACGCGCGCAGGTTCATTTCACTTGCAGGCGAGCTGGGACTCACATGTCACGTACCCGTGACGTAGTATAGCAAGGGCACTAGCACTGCCACTAGCTGCACTGCACTACACTGCACTACACTGCACTACACTGCACTGCACTGCACTACACTACACTACACTACACTACACTGCACTACACTACACTGCACTGCACTGCACTGCACTGCACTGCACTGCACTGCACTGCACTACACTACACTACACTACACTACACTGCACTACACTACACTGCACTGCACTGCACTACACTACAACAATTCAATTTTGAATTTGTACACTACACTGCACTACACTACACTGCACTACACTGCACTGCACTGCACTGCACTGCACTGCACTGCACTGCACTGCACTGCACTGCACTGCACTGCACTCCACTGCACTGCACTGCACTGCACTGCACTGCACTGCACTGTACTACACTACACTACACTACACTACACTACACTACACTACACTACACTACACTACACTACATGCATACACCACACTACACTGCACTACACTGCACTACACTGCACTACACTGCACTGCACTGCACTGCACTACACTACACTACACTACACTACACTACACTACACTACACTACACTGCACTACACTGCACTACACTGCACTACACTGCACTACACTGCACTACACTGCACTACACTACACTACACTACACTGCACTACACTGTACTGCAATACTACACTACACTACACTACACTACACTACACTACACTACACTACACTACACTACACTACACTACACTGCACTACACTGCACTACACTGCACTACACTGCACTACACTGCACTACACTACACTGCACTGCACTGCACTGCACTACACTACACTACACTACACTACACTACACTACACTACACTACACTACACTACACTGCACTGTACTACACTGCACTGCACTGCACTACACTACACTGCAACCAGCACAACTACACTGTTCGGACGTGCTCGTAGATTTACATGTACGTGCACTACGAAGCTGGCTCTAGTGCATGTGTGCATGCATTTTTCCCGTTCTGGGGTTTGCGTGTGCATGCTTGACGAAGTTGACGAAAAACGCCAGCAAGCCAGGAGTTTTTTTGGATATTGTGCGGGATACCGGGAGATGCAAAAGAATCGGGAGATTTTGGCACCTCTGCACCTGACTGCGGCCGTATCGCCATGCACACGTGACTGCGGCCGTATCGCCATGCACACCTGACTGCAGCCGTATCGCCATCACACCTGACTGTGGCCGTATCGCCATGCACACCTGACTGCGGCTGTATCGCTATGCACACCTGACTGCGGCCGCATCGCCATGTACACCTGACTGCGGCCGTATCGTTATGCACACCTGACTGCAGCCGTATCGTTATGCACACCTGATGGCGGCCGTATCGTTATGCACACCTGACTGCGGCCGTATCGCCATGCACACCTGACTGTGGCCGTATCGCTATGTACACCTGACTGCAGCCGTATCGTTATGCACACCTGACGGCGGCCGTATCGCCATGCACACCTGACTGCGGCCATATCGCCATGCACACCTGACTGCGGCCGTATCGCCATGCACACCTGACTGCGGCCGTATCGCCATGCACATGTTATACAGTGTACGGCACTGAACACAAACAAAGAAGATTAATGTTTTCCTTCTTATCAAAATAATTTATCATAGCCCAACATTTGGTACCTGAATTTCCTTTGTATTAGCTTTTGAGTGTGTGTGTGTGTGTGAGTGTGTGCGTGCGTGTGTGTGTGTAGTATACATGCCTGTTAACCATGGACTACTTCTGGCTAGATTAAACGCTTGAGTAATCATGGTGCTAGTGAAGCTTGTATCAGATCCACTCTGATTTAGCCACCCACACTAGTAGCAAGTATTACCTTCACTGGGGGCAGGAGTAACTGCAGTTGGATCCCGGGACAGATACTGTTCAATAGGGAATCATTCTCCTTCTCTTCTTGCTTATTCATGTGTATGTGTCCCTCTTGTAAGCAGAACTGTTTGGGGTCATCTTTGTGTACATGCTATATATGGTCATCTTTGTGTGCATGCTATATATGGTCATCTTTGTGTGCATGCTACAGCTATTTTAAAAGTGGTTCTGTCTTTTGAAGCGGCCGCCGAGTTGGCACTGGTTTTCTTGTTTATGATACATTTTTTGTTTTGCATGAGCGCACGTGCATGGCATGCACGGTATGCGTGCCACGTGCATGGGTGTGCGCGTGCGCACTCACTTCAGTTCACAACCTGAGTTTTGCTGCTTTGCCCAGGGCTTTGCAGTTGCCTTTTTAGTTGGCTGTTTTGCTTGTCTCTGGGCCAGGTTATTCCCAGAGTCGAATGGATAATATTTGCTTTAGTGTTCTCTGAAAAAGTGCAAGACGTTCTTCCGACATTTCGTGTACTCTCTTAGTGTATTTCTGCTGCGCACGAAGTCCTTACTCTGTTCATATGCAACAGATACCCTGATGCCGTCAATCCTTTTTCTGCACCTTGTCCTCACCCACTTACTGAGGTGTGGTGATCCCGTAAGTGGGATCATTTTCAAGTCCACCCAGAGTTTTGGGGATTTAAGGGGGTGTCGGCCGTTGGGCGGTTCAATAGCCAATTGAGTCATCTTTCCAATATTCCTTTTGAGTCTCTCTCCCCTCTCCCGGGGAGACCCACGTGACCAGTTTTGGCAGTGAGCAACAAGTACAAGTGTGTGTGTGTGGTGTGGTGTGTTTGTGTGTGTGTGTGTGTGTGTGTGTGTGTGCGTGTGCGTGTGCGTGTGCGTGTGTGTGTCTGTGTGTGTCGTATGGTGTGTTTGTGTGTATACTGTACATACATATGTGTGTATCTACTCTATTGGAATCAGCAATAAAGCCAAGAAACACCACGTTATGGGTGTGTGTGTGTGCGTGCGTGTGTGCGTGCATGCATGCATGTGTGCGTGCACGCGTGTGTGCATGCGTGTGGGTGTGTGTGTGTGTGTGTGTGTGGGTGTGCGCGCGCGTGTGTGTGTGTGCCTGTGGATGTGCAGGCACGCATACATGTGTGTGCTGGCAATAACCGTCAAAGCCTACAACTTACCCTAAGTCACACTCGTTGTTGTCCAGGCAGAGCGTGTCGCTGCTGGTCTTACTAGTGCTGTAGCCGCTCTGACACAGGCACATGTAGCTGCCATTCGTGTTGAGACATGTGTGTGGTTTGCAGCTGCTATTCACACCACTGCTCTTACACTCATCAATGTCCACGCAAGCACCAGTACTAGCACTAGTGCTGCCGCTAGTGCCTGTTGGGTGTAATGTTGGTAGTTGATAACCAACACTACACTCACATAGGTAACTGCCATTCGTGTCGCGGCACTGTGACCCCATGATGGAGGTACAAACCTGCTGATTGCACTCATTGACATTTTCACACACTGACTTGCTGGAAGAAGGATTGCGATAGCCTTGTGCACACGAGCATGTGTATGACCCAATAGTATCGCTACAAGTGTGCATTCCGCCGCATGCCTGCTCGGCACATTCATCTACATTCTTGCACTTCTGGTCACGTCCACGGTCGAATAGCCACATACCAACACTGCTATAGTCGTTCCGGGAAAAAGAGTAAACTGGCCGCTGAGTGTAGTATCCAGGAGGGCAGTCACATTTAAAGCCACCAAATGTGTTCGTACAGTTACGGCTCTCACAAGGGTTTGTACTACATTCATTAATGTCCTCAGTACAAAGAGGACTGCTGGTTGTTGACTTTAAGCCATCCTTACATTTGCAGATATAGCTTCCCACAGTATTAGTACAGTCAAATCGACCACAAGACTGAGTGCTGCATTCATCTATATCATGACAACTGTACCCAGTCCCATTGTAGCCTTGTTTACAAGTGCACTGAAAGCTGCCATCGGTGTCCACACAATCAGCATGAAAAGAACACGGGCTAGGGTATCTATGACATTCATTAATATTCTGACAAGACCTGCCATCTGAAGACAACTTAAATCCCGTTGTACATTGACATCCATAAGAGCCAAAGGTATTGTGGCACGTTGCGTTGTAGCACACGCCTGGCTGCAAGATGCATTCATTTACATCATGACATTTGGGTGTAGAACCAGTCCATTGTAGTGGCATGGAAGTATTTCCATTATCAGAGCATTGTATAACTGGTGAAGCATGGGACTTAAAACCTGACTGGCACGTATATGCGGCAAAGCCTTGGAAAACAGTAGTTTTTGTTTGCCAGATGCCTCCAAGGACTGGGGGTGGCTCACGACATAGTGCTTCTTGACAACTATTGATCATCGTCCAATTGCCTGATGTCAAACAGATAGCTCTGGATTCTTGTAAATCATTGGTCCTGAAACCCAATGCACATTTGACAGCAATATTGCTAGGGTATGTAGAGTTTACCAGTGAGCCAGGACTAAGTAAGGACAGTTCAAGATTTTGGCAACCTTGTCCGGTATAATTCACCATTATTGTCACGGTTGCATTAGCTGTGCGCTTTGGCCCAAACACATCCGTATCCACTGCCTGAATGATCAGTGAGTGGTTAGCAAAAGGTAAATAGAGAAGAGACGTTTTGACCACTATTTGACATGATGACGACACAGAAAAATACCTGTTTGGTGAAGTGAGTGTGCATGATGGCTGAGAGAGGTCAGTGTCAGTATCGGAGAGCACACGGCCTGTGATGTTTGTCCCCACAGGTGTTGCAAAGTCAACATTGATATACGACGATCCACTAAATTCAATGGGATCATCATCAGCATCAACAACACGTACAAATATGGTGGCAGTGTCACTGGTCCCTTGTATCGGAGAGAGGTGAATCAGTAGAGAATAGGAAGTACTCCTCTTGGATAACATTGTTGTGGACTCGATCAGTCCAGATGAAGAATTATAGATGAAAGGCAATGTTGCGGAATTATTCAGCGAAATCTTCCATGATGGATGTTTACAATAGCGTGTTCCAATACATTCAATACTGGCATCAATACCTTGCCAGTGGATAGCAGTGCCGGGTGGTTGGTTTTCTGGTATTAGTCCATTGAAAGTACTCTTAGTGAACTGAAGACCGTGATGATTGATATCAAGTCGAAGGTCATAAGGTGGATTTTCTTGCTTGTGCTTTGAGTAAGGGCTTACACTCAAACCCTTCGAAGGGCTGCAACGCAGTCTGCAGTTAAGTGTTGTCAGCCTCTTTGAAGGAACCTTTTTCACATAGACTCTGACATGGCGGTTTGACGCACTGTATGTACTGTTCGACGATGAACTATAATCAGAGACAATTGCAAGATAATCTGAAAAAGCCCCTTCTTGACAAGTTCCTTGTACACTAGTATTGACTACTTTGGGTGCATGGAACGACTCATTGCTGAAACATGTCAAGTGGGCAATCAGAGAGTAGAGGATACTGTCTACTTCATCAAGTATTATTGGAGATGAGGGTGGTGTAGTCCAGCTCGGTTGAAACTGCTTATAGTTGTAAACTGATAAAGTCACCGAATACTCCATTGACCAGACCTTAAATTTTCCTCCCAATGCAGTCGTTGTGGGCGGTAGTGTTGCTAGATTTTTGGTAATCATAATCTGTTGGCCATCATCTGAAGTCCTGAGGTATTCGCCTGCCGGCCCGGTAATGCCAGTTATCCTGTAAGGAAGATCCCTTCCCCGAAAGACGGTATCATTAGCTGGACACCATCTACACGCGATAATTTTTACATGTTTACCCTTTAGAACGGTTTTGGAAAAAGCGAGAGAGTAAGAATAGCCACAGCTAAACGAGACAATTAAATAAGAATATTCCCATTTTGGACTGATATTGAGAGTAATATCATATTGGAGTGTAGCATTATCTACACACAGTGTTGGTGCACAGGACACGGACACATTGATTACAGGCATATAGCCTAAGCTACCCTCAAAATCAATGCCATTTGCTTCAAGCTGCCCTGAATCACGATCGATGCGAAAGCAGACGATTGTATGATTGCAGCGAAATGGGCCTGGGCATAGCACATCGCAGTTTACTATGTCATTCGCTAGAGAGTAGACTGGGTTACCAAGTATTGGCGGCAAGGCACATGAAAGTTTAGTTACTGCAACTGGCGTGCCATGATTCTCCGTGATGTTTACTGTCAGGGCACGTCGCCTTGCTATGGTATATGGTACACCAGTGCACACGACAGTAGCATTGTTATCAAGTTGACCATTACCTGTAATCAATGGCCAGAATGTGGCAAGAATGACCTGAATGGCGCAAAACAACAAACACACACACACACACACACACACAGTGCAAACAGTATTATAATACATGTTTATCTAATCCATCACTGGTAACAAGAAATCTGTAAAATCAGTTAATATTCTCTTTAGGCTCAAATCAACTCTACACGCTAAATCACTCTCTCTCTCTCTCTGAGCTCTCTCTCTCTCTCATTTACAAAACACACACTGTAAGACATGTTATTATAACGACTCGCAAATTTAACTATTGTCCAAAATCCATAGGTTAACGAGAAGATACGCTAACAATCTTGCGGTCTTCAGGCATATCCACACATAACACATACGATGCCTTGCAGTCACAACAGAACTTGTTATAACGAAGAAATGTAACTCGTTAAAACGTTAGATTTACTTCCACGTTAGATTTACTTCCACGTTCTATTTACTTCCACGTTCTATTTACTTCCACGTTCTATTTACTTCCACGTTCTATTTACTTCCACGTTCTATTTACTTCCACGTTCTATTTACTTCCACGTTCTATTTACTTCCACGTTCTATTTACTTCCACGTTCTATTTACTTCCACGTTCTATTTACTTCCACGTTCTATTTACTTCCACGTTCTATTTACTTCCACGTTCTATTTACTTCCACGTTCTATTTACTTCCACGTTCTATTTACTTCCACGTTCTATTTACTTCCACGTTCTATTTACTTCCACGTTCTATTTACTTCCACGTTAGATTTACTTCCACGTTCTATTTACTTCCACGTTCTATTTACTTCCACGTTCTATTTACTTCCACGTTCTATTTACTTCCACGTTCTATTTACTTCCACGTTCTATTTACTTCCACGTTCTATTTACTTCCACGTTCTATTTACTTCCACGTTCTATTTACTTCCACGTTCTATTTACTTCCACGTTCTATTTACTTCCACGTTCTATTTACTTCCACGTTCTATTTACTTCCACGTTCTATTTACTTCCACGTTCTATTTACTTCCACGTTCTATTTACTTCCACGTTCTATTTACTTCCACGTTCTATTTACTTCCACGTTCTATTTACTTCCACGTTCTATTTACTTCCACGTTATATTTACTTCCACGTTATATTTACTTCCACGTTATATTTACTTCCACGTTATATTTACTTCCACGTTATATTTACTTCCACGTTCTATTTACTTCCACGTTCTATTTACTTCCACGTTCTATTTACTTCCACGTTCTATTTACTTCCACGTTATATTTACTTCCACGTTCTATTTACTTCCACGTTCTATTTACTTCCACGTTCTATTTACTTCCACGTTCTATTTACTTCCACGTTCTATTTACTTCCACGTTCTATTTACTTCCACGTTCTATTTACTTCCACGTTCTATTTACTTCCACGTTCTATTTACTTCCACGTTCTATTTACTTCCACGTTCTATTTACTTCCACGTTCTATTTACTTCCACGTTCTATTTACTTCCACGTTCTATTTACTTCCACGTTCTATTTACTTCCACGTTCTATTTACTTCCACGTTCTATTTACTTCCACGTTCTATTTACTTCCACGTTATATTTACTTCCACGTTCTATTTACTTCCACGTTCTATTTACTTCCACGTTCTATTTACTTCCACGTTATATTTACTTCCACGTTATATTTACTTCCACGTTATATTTACTTCCACGTTATATTTACTTCCACGTTATATTTACTTCCACGTTATATTTACTTCCACGTTCTATTTACTTCCACGTTATATTTACTTCCACGTTATATTTACTTCCACGTTATATTTACTTCCACGTTCTATTTACTTCCACGTTATATTTACTTCCACGTTCTATTTACTTCCACGTTCTATTTACTTCCACGTTCTATTTACTTCCACGTTCTATTTACTTCCACGTTCTATTTACTTCCACGTTCTATTTACTTCCACGTTCTATTTACTTCCACGTTCTATTTACTTCCACGTTCTATTTACTTCCACGTTCTATTTACTTCCACGTTCTATTTACTTCCACGTTCTATTTACTTCCACGTTCTATTTACTTCCACGTTCTATTTACTTCCACGTTCTATTTACTTCCACGTTCTATTTACTTCCACGTTATATTTACTTCCACGTTATATTTACTTCCACGTTATATTTACTTCCACGTTATATTTACTTCCACGTTATATTTACTTCCACGTTATATTTACTTCCACGTTATATTTACTTCCACGTTATATTTACTTCCACGTTATATTTACTTCCACGTTATATTTACTTCCACGTTATATTTACTTCCACGTTATATTTACTTCCACGTTATATTTACTTCCACGTTATATTTACTTCCACGTTATATTTACTTCCACGTTATATTTACTTCCACGTTATATTTACTTCCACGTTATATTTACTTCCACGTTATATTTACTTCCACGTTATATTTACTTCCACGTTATATTTACTTCCACGTTATATTTACTTCCACGTTATATTTACTTCCACGTTATATTTACTTCCACGTTATATTTACTTCCACGTTATATTTACTTCCACGTTCTATTTACAGTCTTACAGTATCATGCCTATAATATGCATGCATTGCTGTCACCCCGGTCTATAATATGCATGCATTGCTGTCACCCCGGTCTATAATATGCATGCATTGCTGTCACCCCGGTCTATAATATGCATGCATTGCTGTCACCCCGGTCTATAATATGCATGCATTGCTGTCACCCCGGTCTATAATATGCATGCATTGCTGTCACCCCGGTCTATAATATGCATGCATTGCTGTCACCCCGGTCTATAATATGCATGCATTGCTGTCACCCCGGTCTATAATATGCATGCATTGCTGTCACCCCGGTCTATAATATGCATGCATTGCTGTCACCCCGGTCTATGATATGCATGCATTGCTGTCACCCCGGTCTATAATATGCATGCATTGCTGTCACCCCGGTCTATGATATGCATGCATTGCTGTCACCCCGGTCTATAATATGCATGCATTGCTGTCACCCCGGTCTATAATATGCATGCATTGCTGTCACCCCGGTCTATAATATGCATGCATTGCTGTCACCCCGGTCTATAATATGCATGCATTGCTGTCACCCCGGTCTATAATATGCATGCATTGCTGTCACCCCGGTCTATAATATGCATGCATTGCTGTCACCCCGGTCTATAATATGCATGCATTGCTGTCACCCCGGTCTATAATATGCATGCATTGCTGTCACCCCGGTCTATAATATGCATGCATTGCTGTCACCCCGGTCTATAATATGCATGCATTGCTGTCACCCCGGTCTATAATATGCATGCATTGCTGTCACCCCGGTCTATAATATGCATGCATTGCTGTCACCCCGGTCTATAATATGCATGCATTGCTGTCACCCCGGTCTATAATATGCATGCATTGCTGTCACCCCGGTCTATGATATGCATGCATTGCTGTCACCCCGGTCTATAATATGCATGCATTGCTGTCACCCCGGTCTATGATATGCATGCATTGCTGTCACCCCGGTCTATAATATGCATGCATTGCTGTCACCCCGGTCTATAATATGCATGCATTGCTGTCACCCCGGTCTATAATATGCATGCATTGCTGTCACCCCGGTCTATAATATGCATGCATTGCTGTCACCCCGGTCTATAATATGCATGCATTGCTGTCACCCCGGTCTATAATATGCATGCATTGCTGTCACCCCGGTCTATAATATGCATGCATTGCTGTCACCCCGGTCTCAATCACAGCCCTTGACCGCCTTGAGCGAATCCAGCGCAAGGCAGCCAGAATATGCCTCTGTCTCCTACTCTTCACTCCTCTGAATCATTCAGCACTGCTTCATCGGCTCAAATGGCCGACAATATTCCCTTGTCGCAAAGTAAAGCTTACCCTTCTTGCCAACTCCATAAAATACCAATATGCCCTACAACACATACGCATGCTCAACACCCCGCTCAAGTTACGCCCCAATACAGCCTTCGACACACCCGCACTTGGCACCTCCCACCCACCAGAACCGACCGCTGTAAAGACTCCCCACTGTACAAGTCCTTAGAATACTACAATGCCCCCCCCCCCCCCTGCTAGTATTCGTAATGTTCCCTCCCTCCCTGCCTTCAAACATGAAATCTACTCACTGCTGATTAACTCAATCTGCTCCCGCAGCGCTCACCCTTTCCCATACTTGTAAAATTCAAAGTGGCATAAATTACTTTCCAACTGCATAACCAGTAGCCCCACTCACAGCATCTCACCTTCTCATACACTTATCTCCTATTGGCGATGGTGCCATCATGAGAATAAAGAATTCAAAAGCGACTGAAACTAGACAAGAAACCATACCATACACATCACACTGGCCTTTTTAAACCTGGTGAACTCAAACTCTGCCATTGCTGCTTCATCTAGCAGATTATGGTGCAACCAGGTGGCAGGGGGTGATGAAGCACTTTTCCAGCGGGGATTAGATTCATTTTTCCTCCAGCCTGACGACATTGTTATGGTGACCGATAGGATAATTGCAGAATACCACTAAAAATCCTATGACAATTTTTTAGAGCGTTTTCATAATAATAATGTCTCAGGGACTGAAAACTTTAAAGGAAAAGTCTGAAGAAAAAAATTGACTGTCACCACCGACCAGGACTCTCTAAGGACTCTCTAAGCAGAAAGCATGCTTCACTTGAGGCCAGCAATGCTCTAACCACTGACTGCGCGGCTATGGTGTAGCTGCCATCCAAGCAGCAACTGTTCAACATTGTCTGCAGACTTCGAAACCCACGCGTCCTTTGAAAGTATACAGGCTGGAGGGACACATCCCTCACTGTACCCATACTTTTCACATGCAAACTATTACACGGGGAGCACCAATGCATCAAGTATTCAGAAGTCCGAGGGACTGAAAAGGGAATTAGAGAGTTCGCATGTATATTACAACCCACTGAGTAAATCGTCAGGGGTTATAACTTTTAAAGCACACATTTTTTTTCCCACGCTCTACAGCTAAAACATTATGAAAGCCACAAGACACCTTCATCATTCGGTGAGAACCAGACCTATGGGCGGTGAGAAGGCAACAATGCATCAGTGTGCAATTGGTGAAGTAAAATAAAAGTCAATAAAACAACAGGCCCAACATTTCTTTTAATAAGTATGCAAGCTCCACTGCAGCCACTTCACATTACATGAAAACCCTGCACACACACCATTCTCAAATCAAGCAAAATCAAATCCTGATTTGATTGATTGCTTTTTATTTAAGGATTTCCAAAGGCGCAGAAGCCTATCGAGGGGCTCTCCTGTCCTATTGTAATCCTAACTGTCTGATGATGACTCAACCAGAGTAGGTTCCAAAGGGAAGGCTTCCTGCAATTCTTTGTCTACTGTGTCTTCGTCATTATCACCAGTGCACCAAAACTAAAGGGCAAGTGGTCTGTAGCTGGCCCCTTTAGCAACCGTTTCACCTAACCGGAGACAGCTGAAAAAGTAAGAGCCCTGACGACAATAATGGCACTGCTCTGTTCAAAAACTATTGGAACATTTTTGAAGATGGAAGTCTGCAAGTAATAAGTACATGGACAACTTTTCTCCGGAGCAAAGTGGCTACACAGTCTATAGCGCTTCTTCATGTGAACTACAATCACATGCATGTATGCAGGCATGCATGCATGTATGTATTACCTTGCGCTAGCCATGCAGCTCAATGCATGCTGTTAGTGTTGTTCATGGTTGTTTGCAGTTGTAGTGATGACATCACCATGCCTGCTGCACCAACAGGCGCGGCCTCATGCTTCTGTAAAGGTTTGTACTAATTATAGAAAGTGCTATGCACTGCACTTGATCTTCAGGCATGCCCTTGGCAGTATTAGGGGATTTCAACTTCGACATGTCCGCTAAGTAACCCTCGATCATCATGGAAACTATCTAGAGAACCTGAGCTGTACATTGTTTGACTTCATCACTGCATGGATATTGTATTTGTACTATACACACTCATCAATCTTGTCCCCGTGGACAGGAAGATGACATCCAGCTGCAGCTGGGGTCATACCTAGTCTGATCAGTGACCACAGTGCTGTTCTCGCCCACCTGGACATGTCGCTGCCTCGTGTAGACATTCTATGATAGACTATCAAAACAGACTAGGCTCGTCTCTCACCAGATTTCCAAAAGCTCTGACGAATGGTCCATTTACAAACTGCTGCCGAAAGCTGATGCCAGAAAAGCCACCGCTCGTGATGGGGTACCAGGTTTGCTACGTATCGCCACTGAAGACATTAATTTTATAGTTCCCAGCCTTACCTATCCGTTCAACATCTAGCTACAATCTGGCATGGTTCCGTGCAATTCCTTTTCTAAAGGATTTGCATGATCATATGTTGGAAATCTCTACTTGATGCAGGCCTGCAGCAGCCTCATTCTGATTAGTCCGGCAAAATCCCCCCCCCCCCCCCCCCATGGAGAACGGTAGAACGGTATGGCAATTCCGTATGAAACTGAACTCTGCACCCGACATGGATTCCATACGTAGATCTACATGACATGTCCGTTGGTACCAGGGAGTCGTAAAATACGGTATTTTACGACTCCCTGGTTGGTACATAAAATTTAATGTAGTAGACTCTACCGTATAGCAGAATGTCTCTTTTATTGAGTGAACAAATGATAGCAAAATGAATCACTTTGGCACACGTTCTTACCCAAAGTAGGACAAGTGAAGAAGGAAGAGCACGATGGCCAGGAGCATGATGTACCAGCACCATGGTACATTTACACAGATGATGGCGATCGATTAGACATTAACAGACTAAGACTAGCTTACTCAATCCTTGTGGGAAACAGCAACAGCTATACGAGCACTTCTCTTCAACAATGGACGCTATAAAGTTATACAGTCTGATGTCGCCATCATGTGCAGAAGCGATGACGATCTTCACCAACGCATTCGTCAAAAACGTGTGTGACATCGAATGAGGTGACCACAGCTCCAACTTGCAGTGTGATATGCCTGGCAGAGCAAAACTATCACCATGATCACTCCCGCGGCCGGCATGCCCGAGCTAGATACTAAGATAGTTCCACTGTTGTGTGGGGCGAGGACTATCACCCCTGCTTTCTGGTGAGCATGGCCTCGTACCCAAACCACATCGGGTACGCGAATCAATTTAGGAAAGGAGCGACGTGACATATATGTGCAGGTCACATAATGTACCATTGCACGGTACCGTAGATATTTTTTCCTTCTTCAAGTAACCAGGTAACATTTGTTAGTTCTTGCCAGGGAGTAGTAAAATATTTTACTACTCCCTGGTTCTTGCCAATCTTGGTCATAATGTAGATCTACTTAGTACATGCCAAGTGACCCCCCCCCCCCCCCCGGGCTCCGAAGGATCACCGGCACAATGTACGTGCCAAGTGATCCCCCCCCCCCCCCGGGCTCCGATCCCTAATCCGGTTTGACCCTAAACCCGGGTTAACCGGTTCTGCTTTTTTTGTAGAGGATATCTTTTTACCCATGCATGGCTGTATAAGGATACGCTCGTACCGGCACATGAACTACACTGCACAACTGCACTGGAGTCGAGTGTAGCTCTGTGTCAATACATTTTCTACCCACCTACAAGTAGTGTGTTTGTGTCGGGGGTATCACTATACAGTATCAGCCAACGAACTACATGTACATGATTCATTGATTGTACCAAGACGCAAGAGTACATAACCATGATAACAATAAAGGGGTTATGTACTCTTGCATGACATTGTACATTGTAGTTGTTAGCAGGGAGTAGTATAATACTACTCCCTGGTGTGAACTACTTAGTGCCCATAAAATCCTACCATTACACTTCATGACATCAACATGACATCATTAATTTGTAGCCTTTTGTATTTTTTTTTGTATTTATATCATTATCTCATGGCACATCATGATGACGGCCAATAAAACTGAGACAAGGGTGAAAGCCAACCACAGCAGTAAAACAGATAAAAGAATACAAATAAGAGGCAAAGAAGGCAAAGGAGGAGACAAACCAGCAGGATATACATGAAACCTATAATTGAGCAGAGATTTTAGCAACAAAATTATCCATCGACGTGCTGGTCTTGGCCTGCGTTGGTAATGTTGCCCAAAACACATAGCCAGCAAAGATCGGGGATCTAGTGAATAGGGTGGAGGCAGCGCGTGGGAGACTGAGTGAGTTCCGGGTATTCCGTGTTTCGGAGAACCAATTATAAGCCTGCATATGCAAGGGTATTTTATTTAGTAATATTTTATGTATGAGAACACAGAGGTGGTACTTATGTCGAGTGGAAAGGGGACTGATCTTGGCAATTTCGTAAAGACTAGCGGAGGGAAAGCGACGATCTTTGCTAAATAAGATTTTAAGGAGCATGCGGTTATGGGTTTCTAGCTTGTTCAATACAGTAGTAGTTATGCCACACCAAGCAGTATCACAGTAGTCAAGTAAGGGCAGTATATAGCAACGATAAAACAAGCGTTTGCAAGAAAGAGGAAGATGTCTACAGTGGGCTTGAAGAGCCCCAAGGATGGAGCTTGTGCGCTTGCAGACATACTGCACATGGGGTGACCACGACAATTTAGAGTCAATAATAACGCCAAGATGCTTATGCTCTTCAACAATATGAATAGCAACACTTGAAGAAGGAAAACAAAGTGGCAGGGAAGGGGGAGAAGGGGAAATGTACATACATGTAGCTGCCGTTTTATCAACGTTTGGCTGCAACTTCCAATCATGCATCCAGGTTATAACTTTCCCAATGCTATCTTGCATGGCTTCGTGCAGGCGTATAGGGCAAGCATTGGAGCAAAGCAGAGCTGTGTCGTCAGCGAAAAGGCTGACACCAGGGGCAATATCGGGGAGGTCATTAATATACAGGAGAAATAGCAGTGGCCCAAGGATTGAACCCTGGGGGACTCCAGAAGTAACGGGTAAAGGCTCCGATAACACAGTTGAGAGGCGTACAAGCTGATGTCGGTTAGAGAGATACGATGAGAGCCAGCCGATAGCCTTGCCATCAATGCGATATACTGTTCGCAGCTTAGCTAAGAGACCCCTGTGCCAAACAGTGTCGAAGGCCTTTGCGAGATCGAAGAAAACTAAACCAACATGGTTATGGGCGTTCCGGGCGGTGTGGATGTCTTGCACGAGGCGGGTAACCTGGTACCTGGTGGAGTCACCCCGACAAAAGCCCGACTGTGCTGGCGAAAGTGAAATGCGAACATGATCATAAATGATGTCATATACAACACGTTCGCACACTTTTGATAAAGTAGAGAGCAATGAGATAGGGCGATAGTTGCTGGGGGTGGTGCGTGGTCCTCTATTTTTGTAGGTGGCCACGACTACCGCAGTTTTCCACATGGCTGGGAATTTCCCTTCACAAAATGACATATTCAAGATAATTGACACAGGATAGGCAACAGACGGAGCAAGAGCTCTCCAAACTTCGTTGGTAATTCCGTCTTGACCAGGGGACTTGCCAGTTTTCAGATTACGGAGATATTTCCTCACTTGGGCTGTACCAGTCGACAATGATAGGAGGGACGCAGGTATTGAGGGTGAAGGGGTGAGTGGTGGTATAGGCCACGTAGGGTCGTCAGGAAGTCCAAACGACGTAAACTGCGTGTTCAATATGTCTGCTATGTCTGCGGGATCTGTTACTACCGTGCCGTCTGAAGCTGTCATTGATCGGATCGGCTCCCGACTACAGTTCTTACGGAGATGGCGGAGAAATTGATGGAGACTAGGGCGATCATGGGAAGACAGGGTGGCATGAACCGACTGTACATACTGACGATGGAGGGTACGTGACAAACATTTCACTTCGTTACGCTTGCGCTTAAAGGCAATGAAGTTTTCACTGGTTGGATACTTCCTATAAATGCTATACAAATCTCGCTTCAGTTTCACAGCACACTTGAGGTCCGGAGTGATCCAGGGTCGGGATGCATCCCGCATAGTAGGACGAGGCCTAATGTAGTCTCCTGTCCGCGGAATAACTTTGTAAGGCAACAGATGACGATGGAATGCTGACTGTAGTAAAGCATCAAACAGGACAATGGCATCATCAACATCAGAATGCCGATGAAGTAATGACCAGTCCAACCTAGACAAGTCTTCATTCACAACCTGCCAGACACGGGTAGGCACTTGTTTATACCTGTACTGAGCCTGGGGATGGAGGGACGATTTAGCAGTCGCTTGTGGTGTCGAGCACGATGCATAGTTGAGCGTACAAACAACCTGCAGATGATCAGATGTGCCAAGAGGAGCTGCGTGGTCGACTGAGAGGACGTGTCGGGGTTTGTTGGTTACCAACAAGTCAAGACATGAGTTGGCACCCGCTGATGAAGTGTATGTTGGGAAACTCACTAGTTGTTGGAGCCCAAGCATTGAAAAAACTGTCTGTAGGTTGGTACCGGCTGTAGAGGTGGAGTCAGAAGAGCACCAATCAATATGTTTGGCATTAAAATCCCCCGTCAGGAAGAAGTCACACTCGTCATAGCAAGAGGACTGTATAGCATCGACCAGCATATCCGAGAAGAAGGACAATTGTTCCGCCGTTTGGGAAGGGGGTCGATACATGCAACATACAAGAATAGGGTTAGGGGTGCATTGAGACTTAACTTCCACCCAGGTAGATTCACAGCCCTGACGCTGCAGGTCGGGTCTGTGGAGAATATGTTGAAAAGCATCAGTCCGGACAAGCACGGCGACACCACCATATCCTCTAGTGAAAGAGTGTGCATTTCTGTTCTCGTGTGCTGGTCTGTCTCTTCTAAAACAGGAATAGCCCGGTACATGCACGGAAACAGATGGGCACAGCCAGGTCTCCGTGAGGCAAACAATACTTGGCTTAGTGCTCTCCAGAACAATCGAAAGTTCAGCTAATTTATTGACGAGAGACCGACAATTCATGGTTATCAGCGTTAGGTCGGATTCTGATCTGGGGTAGAATGGGGTAGCATGCAAGTTGAGGGAAGACATAGACAACATGATTATGACGAGGAACTATCACCACCACGTTCAGTCACGTTGGTACCGTCGGCAAAGCGCCACTTACGGACAGTGTGGCTAATTGTTGCCGGCCAAAATCCTGCACTGAGTATTTTGCCTTCATCCGTCGCTAGGACAGTCAGTCGTGCATATGCTGTGCCAAAGGTCCGGGATTCGCTAATACTGCAATTGAGCACCTCAACCTCACGGTCCTTGCACCAGTCAGTAATTGCGTTAGCGCTACACTCCATGTGGACATTGCCCACGTAGAACCCTCTACGTACTTTAGGTAACGTAGCTCGTATAGATCTGCAATCAACACTAAAAAGGGTTAAAAAGGTGGCAGTACTTGCCGTTATAACGTTAGTAATCATGGTAATACTAATAGTAGTCTTACGCGAGTGACGGTACGAGAAGTAAGACAAATCCCCTAGAATAGAGAGGGTCAGAACCGGGTCTACCATACCGGCATACGGTTCAGAATTCATTCAGATGGTCGCAACCGACCGGTGCTCTACCAACCGTGGATGGTTGTAGAAAGGTCACTGTTTCCGAACACGGTGTCCTCCACCTAAAAGTCCTAAGTCCTTGTTACATGCATGCACCACAGAACGGTTTGGAGCAACAGTTTGGGGCAGCACTGGCCTTTGACGCGCTTTGTCTTTCCGGGTTGAAGCTTCGACGAAAGACATCATGCTATGGTCAGTATGGAGCCCTGTACAGACTCAGTGTCTACACCCACACGAATATCAGACATACACCTTTATGCCAATCCGGGTGCCGTTTATTAGAATAGTACAGTCAGTGTTCTACTACTAGTAGTAGTATAATCAAGAGTACATAACCCGGGGGTTATGTACTCTTGGTATAATCAAGAGTATGTACCCCCCCCCCCCCCCAAGAGTATGTAACTCTGCATAGCGGGTCCGCGGGCGTTCTGTTCCTGCGGATTTTTCCCAGACCTAGGAAACCGCGCGGGTCCTGCAGGTTGCTGAGCATTATACAGTGTAATCATTACACGCTTTGGTAGAGGCTCATCCGGGTCGTCCAAGATTTCCTTCGCGAGCGACTCCACAATAAAAGTTTCAGTCTCTTCCTCAACTTGTTGGATGAGCTCATTCACATCGCCAATATCGTTTCCCAGTTCCAGATCAAAATGTTGGAGCGCCATGGCATGATGACAGCTGTGGTTGAAATCAGTCGCTCTTCTGCTAGTTATTAGCCAGCTCTTTTTTGAACTTGTTGGTTTTCTACTTACTTAGTCGCTCTTTCCTTGTGTTTTATGAAACACGCGGCAAGTATTAAACCAATGCTGGCAATGGCAATGATTATGACAATGAAAAAGAAAGAAAACCATGATGCCTTGATATTGCCATTATTGGCATGAAGTAACACGTTAGTTAGTTAGTTCGAAGACTGAGACTCAGTAGTAGCTCTAATACTAGGCACTTCAGTCACGTGACAGGACCTGTCAAAATTTGCTGAGGTGAGAGTGCGTACTTGCGTGGCACCAGTCAAGTGCATGCGCTAAACTGTACAGGTACGCGCTATGCTTCGTTGTACGGGCGCATCGTGTTGCTCTCAGGGAGCCCTACACATACCATTATGGTATGTGTAGGGCTCCCTGGTTGCTCTGACGTTCAGCTTTCAGTAGATCCCGCATACGTCATAGTGCGTACATTTTTGCGAGTTGTAGATCACGTACACTACCAGCAAAGAGTTTTTTCACAAAGAACTGTTGTTTGCTCGCGTTTGAAACGTTGCTTATCGTCTTCAGCGTCGTCTTTCCATTCGGAAACAGTAGAGTTCTTGTTTACCAGGGTTTGCGCATCGCTGCGCAAGGAGACATTATGTACGTAGGCACTGAGAAGTATGCGCTTTAGGCGGAGGAGAACGACGATGCGTCGTCCTACCTGGGCGAATTCTCAAAGCGTACTGAAAGCCAAGTTTTGACACGGTTGCGCTGGAAGGCCTACTGATGTTTACGAACAATCAAAAGGCACAGTGGCTGCTGGAGAAACCCTCTGATGAGGGGATGCTTTGATATACGCAGCCAGGCACGCTTCACCAAAATTTCAAAGCTCACCAGCAGGCAATTCATGACTGCTGCATGGAGCAGTTGAAGGATAGGGAAGCAGATATCACACCATGGAAAGAAGCTACCAACAGAGGTCCTGAAGAACTTCTTGCCAACTTGGAATCACTTGAAGTGGCATGACTGTGAGCACGAATGTCCTGTGCAGTAATTCGCGCGTGCGCGCGCGTACATACCCTCCACGTTGCGGTGTCCGGCGTACAACGAGGAAGTTCTCTGTTGTTTTTGTGCCAGAAGAATGTCTTTATAACTCTTACGCTTTTGTACCCGCAGGAGCCTGCCAGTATGTCGTTATCAGTTCATTTCACAGCAAACTGAAGCTGTTACTATGGGCTACTATGGCGTTGCTATGGGTTGCTATGGAGTTGCTATAGTGATTGCGGTCACAATTGCCGTATTCTTGCCTATTCTGAACTTTGATCTGTATTGTTTCGATCCATACAGGGTTGTCGGTGTAAGTGAGTGATGTGTGCTTGAAAAAAAACACTCTGATGTTTTGTGACTATATCCACTGATGATACTTCGGAGATGCTGTTGGTGCCACAAATTGTATTGATTTCGCCTCATCCAACTGCCTATCTTCAACCCTTCATATCTGAGTAGTATCACTGTGGATTTCAATAAAATTTTCTGTGTGACCTTGTGATACCCACCACCATCGATTGCCGATGATAAACCTGGAAAAAACGCGATTTCAAAAAATGGGGTGAAGTGCCTACTAATACTGTACGTACTGACTGTCAGATTAGATAGCCTGAGTAGGTAGGTGTGAACTGAAGGACCCGGCCCGCGCAGTGCATGGTGCACTGCACCCTGGCTGGCTTGGGCGCTACCTGAAATCATGGAAATAGGCTGAATAATAAAACCGTTCTTGAAAAAAATACAGGTACAAACGAAATCAATCTCAGGCGCGCATTCACCAGCAGTGCAGCTGCTGTTGATGATCAGTTTTGTTGCGCTCCCACTGCTGGCCTTGCCGCCATTATTGCAACGGTTACAGTCGGTGACGCTTCCCCTGTTCGGCACGGCCCAAGCCTTCTTCCGCCTGTCTTCTTTCTTCTTAGCCTTTAGGCATACAATGGCATGTAGTCGTAATCAGAAGCGAAGCAGGCAACAGCATCACAAGTGCTGCCATGATATAGCCTGCTCAAAATCAAATGCGAGCCACTCAGAGGACGCTGAAGGATGTTGGGTGAGTCAAGCCGGAGCAGAAGGCTGGAGAGTACCCATCAGTGTTACTTACTACACGACGTAACGTTACAGTACCCGGCACCAGCCAGGTAACACATCGGCCTTGGTTGAACTTACTTACTTGATGTTGAAGTGCAGTGCGTGAGGACGCCTGACTGACGGTTTTGGCGATTGGGCAGGAAGAACCTCAGCCCAGCAGCTCACAGATCTACCCATGCGTTGCTAGCGACCCATTACTCGGCATTGGCGTTGGTAGTATGAACGCTTGCTAATAGTCGAGTTGTTTATCGCTAGCTGGTCATCCTTTTGGCTTGTGCGTGCAGAACAGGAAGGATTTCTTCTCCATATGCCGTGACTCTACATGTTGCTGCAATTCAAGCGGCAAGTCAAGGCAATGAGTCGTGGAGAAGAGTTCACTTGCTGCACTCAGGACTGTCCGACATGATGTTGCCTGGGTCTACAACTACAGTACAGGACGGTGTCCAAGTCGGAGAAATGCAGCGGCCACACGTGTTGAGTGTACATAGCAACACTGAATTTTGTGATAGTGTGATTATGTCAGTGCACCTGAGTACTAGTAGTACTAGTAGTAGTACACTGTAGTATCCTGAGAGCCCTGGCAAGACTTCACCTAGACTGTTGGAACGTCCAGTATCCAGTACAGTATCTGTGTCCATGGTGTGTACGCCATCCACTACTAATACTATTCTGAGTATTCATCACTACAACCGGGTCAACCCTCCACACAATGCAGCATAGCTATGCACTTGTAACAGTATGTGAGTGGTTGTACACAATCATGTATGGCATTGTACATTGCTGTACGTTGTCCTGCAGTCCTGCAGTCAATTGAGAATGCAATGGGAGAAAGAAAGGAGAATGCTGAGAGGTACTTCCCCCGGCTGCCTCCATGCTGAACCCATTAGCTATTCAGCTACGCTCTTTGCACACTGCACACACTGCTATGGACTGCAAGCAACATAACAGAACAGTCTCGATTGAGGACTTGAAAGGGCTTTTAACTCAGCAACAAAGTGGATGATCTTGTGGCTGTGAGTGGATAAGTGGCTCAGGACACCACACCTAGATTGGCCTAGAAACCAGTATTCTTTTGGACGGACATTACAGAATCTTGCATTGCTGCTCCTGCTGCTGCTGCTGCTCCTACTGCTGTGCTGTGCTGTGCGTGCGTAGCACTGGCTAGGATATGGAGCTACAGTACAGCCTACAGGTGCCAGTGCTGGTAGTAGTACGTTAGCCTAACTACCTTCCCCATTGCAGCGCAGCTGAGTGCAAGTACTCGTGTCTGTTGGCTGTGGCTGGTAGTCTGATATTCCATTCCGGCAGGGCATCAGTGGACTGTTTGCAGACCACCAGGAGAACACGGAGAAGGGAGAGGGAGAGAGTGAACACTCACAAGGTTAGTCAGTGTTTTTTTTGTGCATGTGTGTGTGTGTCCATGTGTGTATGTATATGTGTGTGTGTGTCCGTGTGTGTGTGTGTCGGTGTGTTTGTGTGTGTGTGTGTGTGTGTGTGTGTTGTTCATGATCAGATGGGTCTGATGATTGCAGGCATGCAGCAAATGACCGCTCAGCTTGTTTGGGTATAAACATTATTGTGCTAGTGCCGGAGTGTGGAGTAGAGTCCACAGTTGCAGGAGCTGCTCAGTTTAGCTTTCACCTGCAGCTGCACTGCTAGTCCTCTCACATAGCCCAGCTGCAGTAGTGTAACAGTACTGGGTACTGGGTACTGCCGCTTGCTTGGCCTCAGCAGCACTCAATCCGGGCTATGACCAGTCAGTTGTTGCTCTACTGCCTCTATCCCTACCATCTACAGTTACAACTCAGTGTACAACCATGTGCATGCAAACATTAACTGTCTGGTGGGACCTGCTGACAATAGTCTGCCTGGTCTGCTAAACAGCAACAGCAGCAGCAGCTATTTAACAGTGCACTGCTAAACAGCAGCAGCAGCTATTTAACAGTGCACTGCTAAACAGCAGCAGCAGCTACTTAACAGTGCACTGTGCCCGGCTGAACCTGCTAGACTTGCTTGGCAGATACACCCCTGTAACTAGTGTAAGCTTACTTGTCAGCAAAACTCCCATGAGATGTGTAGGTACATGTATGTGCTAGCCAGTCCTGCGCCTGCCCCGCTCTTGCTATTGCTACTGCCCCTGCTACTGCTGCTGCTGCTGCTGCTGCTGCTGTTACTGCTGCTGCTGCTGCTGCTGTTACTGCCGCTGCCCATGTCAACTTGTACAGTTGTGTGGCTACATTGAGATGCAGAGTTTACATCTTCCATTCACGGTATTGGCTGCCCACACAAGGTACAACGCTGATCATGTGGCAGTATCCCTGCTGCTCTGCTTTGCTCTAGTCGTGCGTGCTGCAGAATGACTTGCAGTAAGACAGTCACTGATCTTCATGCTCTCACATGTATATCGGGATATAATCTGTGTGGCGTAAGATTGTCGTTGTCATGTACGACAGTGTCACACATCAGTTCAGTGGTAGTGGTCAGACTGGATTGTGCACCAGTATATAGTCATTCCCCATGGTAGCAGTGTGTACAAGACGTCCTTGTAACTACACATGTTTGTCAGGAACTGTTAGGTTATTGGTGGAGACAGGAGAGAACACGGATTGTTATCAAGTCGTCGGTCTCTTCATAACCGATGCAAGTACATGATCTTGTCACCGGACCCTTACTGGTTGTCAGCAGGATATCTCGTTGTCCAGCACTGCAAGAGCATGGCACAAGCTATGCTAGACCACAGGACTGTACAGTTCTGCACAACCATTACTCAGTGACAACCAAATGTCTATCCCTGACAAGATAGTAGTACTCGGAGGAGTCTCCAGCCTGTTACTAGTGTTAGAATGCCAATAACTGTGTGAGCCACGTGCATTGTTGCTAGTGTGGTTTGTTTTCTTGACTGTCCTGTGTATCCAGTGCAGCAAGAAACCCCTCATCCATGCGTCTGTGGCCAGTGGTCAGTCCGCTGTGAGTAGATCCTACCTGCTACCGTGTGTGTACAGCAGCTATAGTATTAGCATGTATATGTAGTTGGAGAGACAACACACTGCTGCTAGTAGTAGTAAAGGCTCGCATTGCTCTTGGATCAGTATTCATTTCCCGTTGGATGCACCCAGACCCCCATTGCCAAGGCCATTGTTGGATCAGTATTCATTTCCCGTTGGATGCGCCCAGACCCCCATTGCCAAGGCCATTGTTGGATCAGTATTCATTTCCCGTTGGATGCGCCCAGACCCCCATTGCCAAGGCCATTGATGGTGGCAATGTGAGATGCATGCACCAGGACACATACTCTACTGTGTCTACGACAACGCTGCCAAACTCTGCAGCAGAAGTACTCTACCGTGTCTACGGCAACGCTGCCGAACTCTGCAGCAGAAGTACTCTACCGTGTCTACGGCAACGCTGCCGAACTCTGCAGCAGAAGTACTCTCCGCCTGTCGCTAGCAAGGTCTGAAGCAGAATGGCGTGCTGTAGTGCATTGGCGAAAATGGTGCACGTGCTGATGCTGACGGTGATGCTGGTGCTGATGCTCTGCTGCCACATGTCTTCAGCACAACTTGCAATACCCGGTAAGTGATAGTCATACGTTCACCTTGGTTTTGCAGTTGTATCAGACTATTGCTGCCTCTTGTTCTCTCTCAATATCGACTACTGGAAGTCAACAAATATTCGGCACGTATTTATTTTCGGCTATTTTCGGCCTGGTCATGTTTAGCCGAAAATTTGTTGCGGCCGAAATTTTGTTGTGCAAGGTTAAGTGTGACAGTGTTGCTGTATGATGATCGCCACAGGCGTGAAACTGTGAGTCACAGCCAACCCAAACTCCGTATCCCATTTTATTCTTTTTGTGTGACAGTGTATACAGGCGGCAGCAGTACAGGTCGAACATTTGAATGGGCCTTAATGGGTTTTAGCCCTGGGAGGCCGACATTTGAATGGGCCGAAATGGGTTTTAGCCCTGGGAGGCCGAAATTTGAATGTGCCGAGAATTTGTCGACTTACAGTATGCGTTCATGATAGGTGTCCTGTCCTGTTTATGATAGGTGTCCTGTCCTGTTTATAGGTGTCCTGTCCTGTTTATGATAGGTGTCCTGTCCTGTTTATGATAGGTGTCCTGTCCTGTTTATAGGTGTCCTGTCCTGTTTATGATTGGTGTCCTGTCCTGTTTATGATAGGTGTCCTGTCCTGTTTATGATAGGTGTCCTGTCCTGTTTATAGGTGTCCTGTCCTGTTTATGATAGGTGTCCTGTCCTGTTTATAGGTGTCCTGTCCTGTTTATAAACAACTAATTACATGCATGCGTGCATTGGTCATAATCGAGCTACCATCGTGGACATGGAAATCCAGTTGGATGTCAAGCGGCCCAGGGCGCTGGCCGTGTAGCCGTGAGTACTCACTGAGGGTGCTGGCCCCCGCATCATTCGACCGGATTTCCATGTCCGCGACGGCAATTACACCGTGATGTAACGAATAGCTGATTGTTCAATTTATTTGAGCTATCAGTGCCCCAAGATTATTCGGATAGGAATTGTTCTGTGCTGTAATTACATCTTGTTCACTCAGTTCCATCAAGGCTCCGTTTGGTTGGCTGCTATCAAAACCTTCCTGTTGTGTTTGGTCCGGGCAGTGGTGATGCAGAAACTACTGTCACTACTCTTGGACCTAGCATGAGTAGCAGCAGCAGCAGCAGCAGCAGCAGCCACCACAGTGGACAGCAGCAGCCATCCACGGTTGTTACACTGAGTGCTGATAGTAACACTGTAGCCATGGTAGCTGTTGACCCTAGTCCAGCAGCCAGGGTTCTGCAGTGTGGGGATCCGTGCTTGGCGAGAGGCTATCCGTTCTTTGCAGTGTACGTCGGAAATAGTGTTTCCAGCGAGGATAACGCCAACGTTGATGTTGCTGGTGCAACTAGCAGCGCTGGTATGCAGCAGCTGAAGTGCCAATGCGGACATGACATTGATGGAGAGCTGACACGCCGGAGTCAGTGCGTTGGTGACAGTGCTACTGGCAGTGTGCAGGTTAACGTGTACATGCACCAGCCAGGTAAGACCCAGGCCGCACTGGATGCTCTTTCCTATCAAAGTATACTGTATTTTACAGAATATATGCCGCACTGGAGTATATGCCGCATCCCCCATTTTTGTGCCACAAAGTACAGGCATCCACCCTCTTTATCAACATCAACTTGATTATCCCAGTATAAGCTGCACCCCCTTTTTTGAGTGAATTTTGAGTGTTCAATGTGCGGCTCATACTCCGGAAAATACGATACTTGAAGTGAATGTGCCGTGATGGGGTTTCCCCAGATTGAAGAATTTGAGGGGTTGGGGCAGTTGCGAAAGTTTGTCAATGTGGCGTGGACCACCACAATGTGGTACACCACCACTGCCCCATGATCAGACGTGCATGGTAGAGGGGACGGTTCGATACCGGAACGGTTTGACAGCCAAATTTGTATAGACCCAAACCGATCATCAGTGTGGATTGTTCACTCGAAATATGTTTGTTTCCCAAGCATGATTTCGAGCAGTGTTGCTGACTTCGCAACAGTAACATGGCTCCAGGTACCGTGCTGCTCAATGAGTTTCCATCGTGTGAATCAAGTTTTACGCACTGCGCCATTTCCCATTCCAGTGTTCAAATGTCTAGGGTTGCACAGCGCCGTGCGTGGTATTCACACCTGCTTGATTGAATATCATTGAGCAACAACACTGTGCATGCAGTTCATGATCTCTGTGTATAAGAGCTACAGTCGACTCTACTTATAACGAACTCGCGTATATATAGCGAATTTCGTGATTATAGCGAACCCGTGTCCATACCCCTGTTTGAACCCATACACAATTGACCCTTTACAGCGAACAGTGTTCGTTTATAACAAACCAAATCTTGTAGGGCCGCATGTAATCAAGTGTGCTCATACTGTCATGGGCCACTTGCCAGTCATGACTTGCTGCTTGTATGGCATGAGTGCATTTCTGTTATATCGAACTTCAGTTGTAAAGAACTAATTCTCCTGCACAATTGTGTTCGCTATAACAGGAGTCGACTGTACTAGTATTGCCAATGGGCCATCAACCAAACACCATTGCTCTCCATCAACCAAACACCATTGCTCTCCATCAACCAAACACCATTGCTCTCCATCAACCAAACACCATTGCTCTCCATCAACCAAACACCATTGCTCTCCATCAACCAAACACCATTGCTCTCCATCAACCAAACACCATTGCTCTCCATCAACCAAACACCATTGCTCTCCATCAACCAAACACCATTGCTCTCCTTATGAACTACTCAAGAAACCGTAGAGTTTGTACTCTAACTTGTGTGTTCTACCTTATCCTGCTTCAATTCTACACTCTACATTCTGCAGGTCTCAGTGGCAATGTTACCTGGGGTAGAGGCCTTCGATCAACGTTGTCATGTTATGGCTTTCCCATCAAGTCGGACAAGTTCCTTTTCATTTGGTTCCGACTGAGTATGACGGATGGGTTTGCCCAGTTCTCTAACGTGTCCGGGGAGCCTGGCAAGTACACTGTGACTGCTGCTGGAGACATTGATGTTGCTACATATGTCTGCTCCGCCAGGTACTTGCATGGTAGCAGTGGCAGTGCAAGTACTCTTGCTACATTTACAATGGGTTCTAAGCACGCTACTGTTACTCTAATAGGTGAGTGAATTGCTGCTGCTGCTGCTGCTGCTGCTGCTTTGCTGCTGCTTTGCTGCACTACTGCGCCTTTGCTCCTGCTGCAACTGCTGCTGCTTTGCTGCACTACTGCGCCTTGGCTCCTGCTGCTGCTACGGCTGCTATTGATGTCAGAACAATGATATACATTGCGACACATGAGGACATACGCATTCAGAAATTCATGCACCCACATGTGCAAACACCCACACACACCCACACACACACACACACACACACACACACACACACACACACACACACACACACACACACACACAGATATCCGTGAAATAGACAGCAAACGGTGAAACCCCAAATCCCAGGCATACATGATTGTATGTAGCACAGAGGTGTTCTACCTAGTCTAGTTGTTAGTAGGACTGACAACTTACTGAGGATCCAACTGCTTACTGAGGATCCAAAGACTGCTTACTGAGGATCCAAAGACTGCTTACTGAGGATCCAAAGACTGCTTACTGAGTATCCAAAGACTGCTTCCTGAGGATCCGACTGCTTACTGAGGATCCGACTGCTTACTGAGGATCCGACTGCTTACTGAGGATCAGACTGCTTACTGAGGATCAGACTGCTTACTGAGGATCAGACTGCTTACTGAGGATAATACTGCTTATTGAGGATCAGACTGCTTACTGAGGATAAGACTACTAAGGGTTGGTTCACATATCGCTGGTACGCGCCGGGAGTCACCGGCGGTGGGCTTCTTGCAACCTCTCCCGGCACATTGCGATTGTGTGAACCAGTGCAGTCGTAACAAAATCATACGGTAAAATATCGCAAGGGACCGCCGGCAAAGTTGGACAGTGCCCAACTCTTGCGATCTTCCCCGGCGCCGATCCCGTACACTTTTGACCAAAAGTGGTTTGTGAACCGTTCGCGCCGGTGATCGCCGGCTGCCGGGAGCCAGGCGTTGTCAAAATATCAAACCAATACTTGTCCTAAATTTTCCTAAATTGAGGCTAGAGAGGAGGTCTGTTCGCCATTCTTGTAGTCGCTTCAAGGTGGCAAATAAGTCAGCATACCAGCCCGTCCTTCTCGGATGATCTGCTTGACCATTGTGCAACTTATTAGACAAATACAATTGAAACAAATAAAAAATATGATGGATACATTGGCAAGTTCTTGTGACTTCATCAACGTTTGCAAGCATAATTTCGACACGATCGCTTACTAGACTGCTATAAAATGTGCAGAAGTAGTTTCATGATCTCCAGTGAAAGGTAGCACCGAGTGGCCATCACCGAAAGACCTTGAACTACTGAAGAAACAAAGAATTCAAGCTTCAATTGGCAAACCTGTCGTAGCATTTGGGCACATATTGTACTACTTTGTAGTAGATTTGGTACTCGAACCGTATGTGCAACGGGTCGGGAGCTGGCTCACCGCCGATGTCTTGCGATGTCTTGCGGCGCCGATTTTGCTTATGTGAACCAACCCTTACTGAGGATCAGACTGCTTATAAAGACCTACGAGGCACACCACCCAACTGTTAATAGGATTTGCAATTTTAGACTGTATTGGACTGAAGACTATCTATATTAACCCGATTGCCTACTGAGTCTAACATAATAATATACAGTCATGTACTGGACATGGCATCATGTATTACACCATCTATCATATCATGTACTCATGAAGTGGATGTGCTGTTGTCGCCGTCGTTGTCGTCGTCTTTGTCTTCTTTGTCTGTATCGATTATTTCCACCTGTATAGATCCACCAACGGTGCAGATTGTTTTCCCAGCTGATGACATACAGTTTGTCTTGGCGGGATCAACAGTGCCGTTTGTTTGTCAGGTCACTGGAGACAGCGGTGTGTTGCATCAAAGCTGGGAGAGAACTGAACGAGGTGAACAGCATAAGCTACACCACTTGCAGCAAAGTGACTCCTTCCAGCTGGGCCCGGTGACGAACGAGCATGAAGGCAACTATTCCTGTGTGGCTCAGCGTGACGGATTGGACCAGCATGTCCGTGATACAATGCAGCTGATTGTTCTCGGTACGGCAGTGTGTATTGCTATGACTTTGTGTATGTTTGTTTGTTTCTGATGCACATAATTATAGCTGCAGAAATGTCTGTGTGGGGGACACATGTCTGTGGAGGGACACATAAGTATGTCTGTTGGGGAGGGGGGGGGGGGGGGGGTACACATGTGCTCCTTGGAGAGGGGGGGGGGGGGGGGGGGCAAACTGCCTATTCATGGCGGGAATCCTGCACAATCTACATTACTAAAACAGAGACCCGTGTATGGTCATGTGCATTTATCTTTGACCCATAATGCTTTTGTGCATATGTGTGTGTTCGTGTGTGTGTGTGTGTGTGTGTGTGTGTGTGTGTGTATGTGTGTGTGTGTGTGTGTGTGTATGTGCATGTGTGTGGATATGTGTGTGTGTGTGTGTGTGTGTGTGTGTGTGTGTGTGTGCATATGTGTGTGTGTGTGTGTGCATGTGCATGTGTGTGTGTGTGTGTGTGTGTGTGTGTGCACGTGTGTGTGTAATAATTATTCAGAACCGCCGCGTATTGCTGTATCTGGGAGCAGTGAGCTGCTAGGCATACTGGGCACACGCATCAGTTTGAACTGTTCTGGAGTGTTTGAGTATGATCTTGGCATGGCTGGACTGCATTGGAATAAGACTGATAGTCTGTGCTCACCAAACCAACAACCAGTCTCTCTGCTGACCAGTACTGGCTCCACGCAGAGACAGACCACCACCACCAGCAGCAGCAGCAGTAGCAGCAGCATTCAGTCACGACCAGGTGGGTGTTTGCTAAGACTACCACTGCTATTCTACAGTATGTATATACACACACTGTGTATCAGCTCTGTGATGAATGGAGACGTGGAAAACGGTGGGCTACAAGTTATGAAAACAGTGGGCTACAAGTTATGCTTGTATCTATTGCATACCTGCAAACCATACCGATTCATACCGATTCGGCCGGGACCGTCCCGATATCCAGGGTGGTAATAGGCACACAAAAGTGTGTTTGTCGCATGCTTCACAGCTACAATTGTGTACATTTTCATAGCTAGGTATATCATAGTCCCGATATCAGTACATGTTCATACCTAGGTATGTCATAGTCCCGATATCAGGTTTGCAAAGGTTGGTATGTATTATGCTATTGGTTGGTAGATGCTGCTTGTTGTTCATGGGCTTTGGGCATTGATATACTCCATCATTTTACAATCTGTGTAGCTGCGTAGGGGACTGGTCATCCCACTGTTCATGTAGGAATGTAATAATTATACTCTCTCTCTCTCTCTCTCCAACGAAACTGTTTGGCCTTGTATTGTGTGGCGTAGTCGCGAAGGGGCAGTAGTTTGTCCGTATCTAGATGACACATGTGTCCAGGACACTCACTACTCTATGTCAGTCTGGCTATCACTGTGTGGTTGTGTGCACATGTGCGTGCACGTGTGTGTGTGTGCGTGTGTGCGCGTGTGTGTGTGCGCGTGCGTGTGTATGTGCATGTGATTGTGGCATGCTCTTTAAAACATTCTTGTATGCCAGCAGGTTCGTACACAATCTTCTCAGAGCACCACATAGGCAGTGTGGAAGTCAGTGATGCTGGTCGCTATGCATGCACTTCATCAGCAGAGTCGCTATCAGGATGTCTGGCACACGACTATGTGGATTTGACTGTAGTTGGTAAGCACAGCCGCCAGCATATCGAGCATGTACAATGAAACCTGCCTAAGGCGACCGCTCAAGGGACCTTCAAAATGCGGTCACTTTTTGTAGAGGTGGTCTCCCTATCCAGGGTCATGTGACCGGAAATATCGTCACAGGGTCCTAGTTGTAGTGGTCACCTTGACAGGTGGTCACCTTGACAGGTGGTCGCATTGACAGGTGGTCACCTTGGCAGGTGGTCACCTTGACAGGTTTTACTGTACATTGTGCACACATCTCATTCACATAAACATTCCCCTGGGATCCACTGTCAATGCTGCCTAAGTGTCGCATCCACTGTCAATGCTGCCAAAGTGTCGCATCCACGCTCAGTGACCCGACCCAGAAATCACTACGAGCGGCGACTGAATAAACGTGTGGCCTCGCGACGAGCCCAGCACAACCCAGGGGCCAACCAGTATAGCTGGCTTGGTCCAAGTTCAACCCCACATGATCAACAGACAAAGACTGTTAGTTCCACGTTGTGAGTAGTCATTCCAATCCGAGCTCAAAGTAAACCAAGACAGAGAGCTGAGACCGAGTCTCGACTGAAGTAAAAAAGAGAGTGAGAGCTTTTTTTATAGCGCGTTTCGGAGATATGGCGTGATCATTGCTTACAATGGTATGAGGTAACCCCAAGAAATGGTAGAACAGGTCAAACCGGAATATGCGCAGCCAGTCAGCCGAAAAGCAGAATGCACAGACGGTAATCATTCGAGAAGAAGGAGAAAGAAAGACCAAAAAAGGACGTGGGGAGCCCGCTCACCCACGTCATGCGTACATTGTGCGTATGAGGGTCACGTTGGGGAGCCCGCTCACCCAACGTGCCATTGCTCAGCGGCTTCTTATGGGTAAGTTCTGCGGTATTCTTCGCTCTGCTTGTGTGCTACTCTGACCTCTTGCCCGGTGACGGTTTTGGTTCTTGCACATGTCTTGGCTCTTCATTCTTTGCACATCGCTCTTGCTAGTCTTGGGTCTTTGCACGAAGCGCCGAGGCATCATGGAAACCTGTAGAACGCCGTAGTGACGTGGTTTTGCACAAAGCCTGGAGTTAAATTTCCGGGAAGTGAAACACTTCCAGGAAACGTGCAACGCGAGAACCTACCTGACCCGGTTCCGGCGTTGGGTCACATGATGTGCCATGCCAAGAAGCCATATCACCTACTTGGGAAAGCGTGTGTCGCTCGACCTACATGCTAAGCACGTGGGACAAGACACTGACCAAACCACGTTGTATTAAAGGGCGTGACAGCTCAGCACAGAGCTCCTCACTACTAGACCCTGCTGTCACAGGACTATCAGGCAGCAGTCGTCACATCCAGAGATGTGACATATGTGATCCCAAGTTCCGATGTGTAACAAGGCATGTACCTACATCAAGCGTGTGTGTGTGTGTGTGTGTGTGTGTGTGTGTGTGTGCGTGTGTGTGTGTGTGTGTGTGTGTGTCCCATATGGTGCAGTGGTATGTGCAGCGATTTCCAATCGATAGGTTGCGGGTTCGATTCCCGACGATTATGGTCACACACGTCTTTCTTCTCTTTCTAAGACTCTTCCTGACTTTTCTTTCATTCTCCTGGGTGGTTACCAACAGCCAGTGCATGCCGGAGTATGTGGTGTGATGTGTGTGCGGGAAAAAAATGAAAAGACCAAAAATAGGGATTCACTGGCCAGAAAAAGTCACTTCAAATAGCTGTATGGTGTAGACCAGGCTGAATAGTGACGGTCAATTCTTCAGCCTTGCAAGCTGTTGAATGGTGCAATCCCAGCACAAGTTGCTATGGCATCTGCCGTAGCATTGCTATCATCGCCTCCGGCGATGGGCGTCAAAGGTCAAAGGTCAAGGTGTGTGTGTGTGTGTGTGCGTGTGTGTGCGTGTGTGTGTGTGTATATGTGTGTGTGTGTGTGTGTGTGTGTGTGTGTGTGTGTGTATGTGTTTGCAGAGCCTCTGCTTCTGACTACACAGTTGTCTCATCGAGTAGTGCAGGAGAGCGTGACCACCGATGTTATCTATGTCTACTGCCGCCAGGAAACTGCCATCAGCAAAACAGCTCCATCGTACCCGGTGATAGTGCAGTGGTTGAAGAATGGCAGACCCGTTGATCCACGCCGTCGGCAAAGCAGTAGGGATGGCCTGCAAGGAGCTACTCTGGTCTTGACACGACCAACAAAGCAAGATGCTGGACAGTACCAATGCTTAGTTAGATATGCCAGCATGCAGGATATGCGAGAGAATTGGTTTGCCAGCACTCCCGTGTCTCTCTACGTTGATGGTAAGTAGCTTCATTCAGGCATTGTGTGTAGAGTGCAGGCATGCCATACACTGGTACATTATACGTGTACGCATGTGTGTTCTCATAGTAGGGATATCAGCGAACGCACTGCGCAGCCCATCTGCGCAGGTCAGCCTGGCCCATCTACGCGCGGCCGACAAGAAAACTCATGAACACTTTCATTTTTTTGTAAAATAAATCGTGCGAAGAAGATGCACGGAATGGCTGAAAACTAGGCTGAGGAATAGTAGCATCCAGAGACTCTCAAACAAATTCATGGTCCATCGCTTCTGACAATGGCAGCGAAGACATCAGGGAGCTGATTGCAGCAACTCTCTACCAAGCGCGATGCTGGTTACTCACCAGGGCAGGGCGCTTCCATCGCGCAAGAAATGGCCGCGAACGAGAAATGGAAGTCCGATTTTGGAACGATCCAACCAGGGAAATTCCTTGAAAATTGGCCTGAACACCTCTCATACTGGTGTTTCACGATGTGCAAACTTTCAGAGAAATCGACCGGGGAGAACGTGGTGAGTTCGTGGGTCCTCGAGTATCGCGTATGATTTGAATGGTCGCGGGGACAGAAGAACAGTAATTTTACGACTCCCAGCGGTGCAAACAGACCGCGGCCATGTTTTCTCTGTCGGCCGCGATCACGTTCAAAAAATCGATGACGCAATGCATGCGCAGAGGCCTGCGCAGTGCGTTCGCTGACATCCCTACTCATAGGCCTAGTGGCTGGTGCAGACATGTACACCAGTACACTCATAGGCCTAGTGGCTGGTGCAGACATGTACACCAGTACACTCATAGGCCTAGTGGCTGGTGCAGACATGTACACCAGTACACTCATAGGCCTAGTGGCTGGTGCAGACATGTACACCAGTACACTCATAGGTCTAGTGGCTGGTGCAGACATGTACACCAGTACACTCATAGGCCTAGTGGCTGGTGCAGACATGTACACCAGTACACTCATAGGCCTAGTGGCTGGTGCAGACATGTACACCAGTACACTCATAGGTCTAGTGGCTGGTGCAGACATGTACACCAGTACACTCATAGGCCTAGTGGCTGGTGCAGACATGTACACCAGTACACTCATAGGCCTAGTGGCTGGTGCAGACATGTACACCAGTACACTCATAGGTCTAGTGGCTGGTGCAGACATGTACACCAGTACACTCATAGGCCTAGTGGCTGGTGCAGACATGTACACCAGTACACTCATAGGCCTAGTGGCTGGTGCAGACATGTACACCAGTACACTCATAGGTCTAGTGGCTGGTGCAGACATGTACACCAGTACACTCATAGGCCTAGTGGCTGGTGCAGACATGTACACCAGTACACTCATAGGCCTAGTGGCTGGTGCAGACATGTACACCAGTACACTCATAGGCCTAGTGGCTGGTGCAGACATGTACATCAGTACACTCATAGGCCTAGTGGCTGGTGCAGACATGTACACCAGTACACTGCGGGCATTGTGTTTAGTGCAGGCATATACACCAGTGCATGTATTCATGCATTGTGTTTAGTGCAGGCATATACACCAGTACATGTATGCAGGCATTGTGTTTAGTGCAGACATGTACATCAGTACATGTATTCAGGTATTGTGTTTAGTGCAGGCATTGTGTTTAATGCAGGCATGTACACCAGTACATGTATTCAGGTATTGACCTACGTATGCCTGCACTGTACACTCAGTAAAGAGTTTTAACTGTTCCCGAAGTATGGATCCCGACAGGAACTGCCTGGATTGCGAAGGTGTTTTTTTTGTGGGGAGGGTGTGTGTGGGGGGGGGGGGGGGGGGGAGGACGAGGTGTTTTGCCTGAAACTAATTCTGTTTGTTGTGTGGGCTTCTGCAAAAATTTCAATGGCCCTATATGTTTTATTCCCTGCACATGTGTGTGTGGGTGCGGGCGTGTGAGCATGCGTGTGTGTGGGTGTGTGCGTGTGTGTGCGTGTGTGTGTACATGTGTGTATATTGGCAGTTGCACCAAGCCTGCACATCTCACCGCCGTCAAACATAACTGCTGCATCCCGCTCAGATCTTGCCCTAGTCTGCACTCTGAGCAGCTCAAACAGTGGACCAAACACCACTATTGCCTGGTCAAGGCTCATGTATGGTGTGAATGTCACTCTAATTAGCACCAGGGTCTCTGATGCTGATGTTGCTCAACACTCAGCCCAGAATCCGCTGTCCCTGACATTGCAGCTAGCCGATGTTAACCAGCGAGATTCCGGCATCTACTTCTGCTCTGCTTACGACCCTAGCATAGTGCAGGTAATGCTGCGTCGCACTGTCAACACAGCCTACGTCGACGTTCTTCAATCAGATGGAGATGGAACAGCAACTGCTGCGGATCTCGGTAATGATGATGATGTTTCTGGTGGCAGTGGTGAGCCTGTTTATATTGGCATGTGTTGTCTGCTGCCGGTTCGCTGTCAATTGTTAACGGAGTATCTGCGGTCTGGGGTGGAATATCAGCGGTCTGGGGTGGAATATCAGCGGTTCAGGGTGGAGTATAAAGCGGTTTTATAGGGTAGACTGATTTAGAACGGCTTGCAAGATTAGGAATCATGTGGTGATGTGGGCTCTGTCCACACTGTATCATACTTCATCATAGTAGGCCCACAGCTATGTTCAGTGATACAAACTGCTTTGTTAAAAGAATTCTCTCAGTTTTAGGGGAATATGATAGTTTGTTTCCAGTGGTTTTCTGTAAGTGATTGTTGCTTGTGAATATGAAGTACTTGATACACTCTATGCCAAGACTCTGACGATGTTTATTTCCTTCACTTGTTGAACATGTGCACCGTGTGTGTGTGTGTGTGTGTGTGTGTGTGTGTGTGTGTGTGAGAGAGAGAGAGAGAGAGAGAGAGTGAGTGTGTGTGTGTGTGTGTGTGTGTGTGTGTGTGTGTGTGTGTGTGTGTGTGTGTGTGTGTCTGTTGGTGTAACATTTGTCATTGCTGTTTCAGAAGTGCAAGGTGGTATCGGCGATGCAGGCCAGGAGGATGTTACTGTACCAGAGCTAGACAGTGCCAGTGGTGGAGTAGCTACTACTGGTCGCCACTACGTCTTGCTGGCTGGGGTATTCGCTGGCTTATTCGCTGTCTCCTTACTACTCATCATTGCACTCCTACTCAGCAAGAGATTCGCCAAAGACGATGAAGAAGCCGATCAAACTTGCACGAAAGGTACTGCCTAGCTGTGTGTTAGCATACACACAGCAGGGGTCTAGTTTGGGGAAATTGATAGGAAGTTCGTATGTGGTGGTGTGTGGGAGAGTTGGGGTAAGTCCGAATGAGTGTGTGTGGAGGTTTACGGTAAAGACTGGATGTGTGGATGTGGAGGTTTGAGATAAAGTCTGAATGTGTGCGCATGTGTGTGTGTGTGTGGGGGGGGGGGGGGGGTGCATGTGTGTGTGGGGGAGGGGGGCATGTGTGTGTGTGTGTGGGGGGGGGGGGTAAAGTCTTAGCGGAACAGTTCATTAACACATCTTGGGAGTACAAACACTATATTGAGCCACTGGGTCTCATAATCCACTGAAGCTGAAGAGTCGTAGCTATTATGGTCCTTGGTGGTAAACCAGCACCACCACCAGCACTACCACCACTGCCGCCACCTCACCAACAGCACCATCCCCACAATCCTCCTCATCAGCACTACCACCACCGCCATCCCCCTCACCACCGCCATCCCCCTCACCACCGCCATCCCCCTCACCACCGCCATCCCCCTCACCACCGCCGCCTCCACCGCCATCCCCCTCACCGCCACCGCCACCTCACCAACAGCACCATCCCCACAATCCTCCTCACCAGCACCATCACTACCACCAGCACCTACTTTGTTGCTTTGTTTGTTTGTTGAAGAAATACTTATTTATGGAAAAAAAGGAGAAGGACGAAAATGTTACGAGTTATGACTAACTGTCCACCAACGTAATCAGATCATTATTATACAGTCAGCGAGTGCGACAAAATGGCACAAAACTGACAAGGAGTACTGAGACATTCAACGACCTGACACCTAGCGAGGCACGAACCAACAACCTTCCAACTTGAAAGGCTCTGGTTAGGAAAGGTCCAAGAGGGGAAGGAAAGTGCAACGAAGAGGAAGCAGAAGCTACGTCCCACAGCAACAAAGAATGCCGAAAGTTACTGGATGATCGCACTCGCTGACGGTATGATCTGGTTACGTTGGTGGACAGTTAGTCATGATTCGTAACATTTTAGTCCTTCTCCTTTTTCCATAATTAAATTGGCTCACCATCCGAGTTCAACAAATAAACAATACTAATTGTCTTCCCTGTTGTTTGTTTCTTCTTATGCTGTGTGCCGGATCCCTTCTCGTAGGAATACAGAGCCCAAGTTTTTCTCCAGATAGCAAACATACTCGACGAGGTTCAGTCCGACGCTACCTGGTGAGGGATGGTCTGTGTCATCTAAGTTTGCGTGGAGTCCGACTAGTGTGTGTGTGTGTGTGTGTTTGTGTGTGTATGTGTGTATGTGTGTGTGTGTGTGTTTGTGTGTGTGTTTGTGTGTGTGTGTGTATGTGTATGTGTATGTGTATGTGTATGTATGTGTGTGTATGTGTGTATGTACAGTGCTGGGAACTGAAATCCGACCTCTTAGCGATGCATTCACATTCTAGCGGTCTCTATTTCCTAGTTTTACTATCCCGTGGTCAATGTGGTTCTTTGCGGTGTGAGTGCACCGCCCAGGTGTCGGATTTCAGTTGCAAGTACTGTATGTGTGTGTGTGCGTGCGTGTGTGTGTAGGGGGGGGGGGGGGCAGCAGGCATGCGTGTGTGTGTGTGTGTGTGTTCGTGCGTGTGTGAGTGCGTGTAATTCGTATATGTGTGTAGCATGTCCATCATCCTGGGACAAGGTGCAAGGGGCTGGCGTTGTGCAACCAGGTGTGATTTAGCAACAGCTCAGCTAGCTCCTGTTGATGACTATTATGACCTATGCTGTAGGCAAAAATCAACCGTAGCAGAGGGATTTCAGCTCACCTCTCCTGTATACATATAATGTGCGTGTGTGCATGCGTGCGTGCGTGTGCATGCATGTGTTTGTTTTGGTATTTATGCCTCACAACTGTGTCGGTGATGTCCTATGTGTGATGTCCTATGTGTGATGTCCTATGTGTGATGTCCTATGTAACCTGCAGCCTGTTGCCCTGAGAAATGCGTTCTCCAGTCGCTCTCCGCCGAGCAAGAGCAAGAGCAAGAGCAAGCGGGTAAGACATGCACAGACCGTACAGAGCGACTGCAGCACTCCAGGACAAACACAAACACTCACAGTCTGTGCTGGGCTTCTTTGCTGCTCAGAAGGGTGATGCTCATCATTTGTTTGTGTTTTGTTCATATTATGCCTGTGCTGGATGATAATGTGTGTGCATTTTGATGCATTCAATCTCAATATTTCTATAGTCCTAGAAACTACTGACAAAGTACAGTTACGCTCAGTCTAATCCGACTCAAAGTGCTTAATATTTGGTGCCATCAACGTTCAAGGTCCTTGGCATGCTGGAAGTTGTACGAGTGCGGCTGGCTGGGCATACACATGTACGAGTGCGGCTGGCTGGGCATACACATGTACGAGTGCGGCTGGCCGGGCATACACATGTACCAGTAGAGTGATGTGATCAGAACTGTACAGGTCCAGGGCAACACCCTTTTGTACTTTGTGTGGTGTCTCTCTCTGTAGTAGTAATGTTACTACTCTGCACTACTTCACTATCTATGTATTGCGCATGTGCACAAGAGTTTCTTGTTCTTATTTTAGTCTGGTCTTCTTCCAAGGCTTTTTCCAATAACAATAATGACTTGATGATGTTTGACCAATGGGTGGTACATAACACTTTGGGTGAGATTTCACCGAGCGCAACTGTAACTTGTCTTGGGAAAGTGCAGATGTTACTTGGTATGAGTGCTACGTCTCATTCCAACGCGCCTCATTTCTGTACTACGTCTCATTCCAACGCGCCTCATTTCTGTACTACGTCTCATTCCAACGCGCCTCATTTCTGTACTATGTCTCATTCCAACGCGCCTCATTTCTGTGTGCGAACTAAAAAAGATGTATAATTACACCGATATTCATCAGTTGAAGGTGTTAAAAAAGGAATGCAACGACTGAGCAAGTATTTGTCTCATGGTGATATTAACGGCATGCGTATTTTCTCGCAGGGATAAACTGCATAAGTGTTTGTCTCATGGTGATTTAACTACTTAAGTTCCATTACGTCTGTTTTGGCATGTACGATTGCCGTGTATGATTGTTCACTGCAGCATGGCAATGGCGATGTAGGGGGCATACCGCCGGACACAGAAATTGCATCGTCCAGTGCTAATCATGAGAACACTACACGTACATCTCCAGCATCAGCATTTCAGGAGCGCTCGTCTCTACGTCACAGCTCCTCTAGGATGCAGCAACAGCAGGTAATACATGCCTAGTGTGGGTGCATCGTCCTGGGCTGGAGTGAAACCAGATTTCACCTGAATTAGATTGTGTGTGTCTCTCAGATCAAACTAGGTTTCTACTTGCATTGTATTGAAATGGCTGTTCCATGCTACCGTGTGATGGCTGTGATGGCCGTGATGCCCGTGATGCCCGTGATGGCTGTGATGGCCATGATGGCTGTGATGGCTGCGATGGCTGTGATGGCCGTGATGGCTGTGATGGCCGTAATGGCTGTGATGGCCCTGATGGCTGTGATGGCCCTGATGGCTGTGATGGCCCTGATGGCCGTGATGTCTGTGATGGCTGTGATGGCCCTGATGGCTGTGATGGCCGTGATGGCCGTGATGGCTGTGATGGCTGTGATGGCCGTGATGGCTGTGATGGCTGTGATGGCTGTGATGGCCGTGATGGCTGTGATGGCCCTGATGGCCTTGATGGCTGTGATGTCTATGATGGCCGTGATGGCTGTGATGGCCGTGATGGCCGTGATGGCCGTGATGGCTGTGATGGCTGTGATGGCCGTGATGGCTGTGATGGCCGTGATGGCTGTGATGGCCGTGATGGCTGTGATGGCTGTGATGGCCGTGATGGCTGTGATGGCTGTGATGGCCGTGATGCCCGTGATGCCCGTGATGCCCGTGATGGCGGTGATGGCTGCGATGGCTGTGATGGCCGTGATGGCTGTGATGGCCGTAATGGCTGTGATGGCTGTGATGGCCCTGATGGCTGTGATAGCCGTGATGGCTGTGATGACTGCGATGGCTGTGATGGCTGTGATGGCTGTGATGGCCGTAATGGCTGTGATGGCCATGATGGCCGTGATGGCTGTGATGGCCGTGATGGCCGTGATGGCCGTGATGGCCGTGATGGCTGTGATGGCCTTGATGGCCGTGATGTCTATGATGGCCGTGATGGCTGTGATGGCCGTGATGGCCGTGATGGCCGTGATGGCTGTGATGTCTATGATGGCCGTGATGGCTGTGATGGCCGTGATGGCCGTGATGGCTGTGATGGCCGTGATGGCCGTGATGGCTGTGATGGCCGTGATGGCTGCGATCGCTGCGATGGCTGTGATGGCTGTGATGGCCGTAATGGCTGTGATGGCCGTGAAGACTGTGATGGCCGTGATGGCCGTGATGTCCGTGATGGCTGTGATGGCTGTGATGTCTGTGATGGCTGTGATGGCTGTGATGGCTGTGATGGTCGTGATGGCTGTGATGGCCGTGATGGCTGCGACGGCTGTGATGGCTGTGATGGCCCTGATGGCTGTGATGGCCCTGATGGCTGTGATGGCCGTGATGGCTGTGATGGCCCTGATGGCTGTGATGGCCGTAATGGCTGTGATGGCTGTGATGGCTGTGAAGGCTGTGATGGCCGTGATGGCCGTGATGGCCATGATGTCTGTGATGGCTGTGATGGCCGTGATGGCCGTGATGGCCGTGATGACTGTGATGGCCGTGATGGCCGTGATGGCTGTGATGGCTGTGATGGCCGTGATGGCTGTGAGGTCTGTGATGGCCGTGATGGCCGTGATGGCTGTGATGGCTGTGATGGCCGTGATGGCTGTGATGGCCGTGGTGGCCGTGATGGCCGTGATGGCCGTGATGGCTGTGGTGGCTGTGATGGCCGTGGTGGCCGTGATGGCCGTGATGGCTGTGATGGCTGTGATGGCCGTGTTGGCCGTGATGGCCGTAATGGCTGTGATGGCTGTGATAGGTGTCCAATGCGCTTTTGTTGCTCTCGGATGTCCACAACTGCACATGGCCCCCTACCCCTCACCTCCACCCACTCTCCACCCTTCAACCCGCACCCATCACCCACCCCTCACTCGTCTGACCCTCTCCCCTCTCCACCCCTCACCACACCCATCCACGCCCTCATGCCCCGGCCCCTCTACCCCTAACCTCCCCCCCCCCCCGTCTCTCCACACATTCATTCTACATTTCCACGCATGATTCTAGATTGCTGAATTCCTTGTGTTCTTGTGTTCTTGTGTATTGCACTATCATTGCGTCAATACACTATGCATGACACTCCTGCGGCAGCAGCATCCAGTGAAAGTAGAAACCTCTGCTCATGCACGCCATTCCAGTCTATCTTCACTGGTGGCCCGGCGGCAGAATTATGAAATTCCTGTTGATCAAGTGCTAAGTGAGGAGAACAGCTTCCGGCCAGTAAGTCTACCCTTCTTATCTTTGTATTGTGATGTTGTCTCTGTCACGCCATCTCTCTGTCACGGTGTCTCTCTGTCATGGTGTCTTTCTGTCATGCCATCTCTCTGTCATGGTGTCTCTCTGTCATGCCATCTCTCCGTCATGCCATCTCTCTGTCATGGTGTCTCTCAATCATGGTGTCTCTCTGTCATGCCATCTCTCTGTCATGGTGTCTCTCTATCATTGTGTCTCTCTGTCATGCCATCTCTCTGTCATGCCGTCTCTCTGTCATGCTGTACACCTGCGGCAGGAATACAGCATGACAGAGAGAACACCACTGACCACATGACCACATAACCATATGAGCACATGACCTCATGAGTCATGACCGCGTAACTGTATGACCTTATGACTGCGTAACCGTACGACCTTATGACCTCATGAGTCATGACTGCGTAACCGTACGACCTCATGAGTCATGACTGCGTAACCGTACGACCTCATGAGTCATGACTGCGTAACCGTATGACCCTATGATCACATGACTACATGATAGGATGGTTATGGTTGACTTCTATAATAATGGTTGATGGAGAGCACAGGAGGAGGAAGGCAAAGATAAAGACACTAAACGACTATTGTTTTCCTTGTCTGCATGTGTGCATATATGCGGGCTCATGTGCTCGTGTGCTCGTGTGTGTGTGTGTGTGTGTGTGTGTGTGTGTGTGTGTGTGTGTGTGTGTGTGTGTTTGTATGTACATGTATTATATTTGCAGAATACCACCTCTCACGGCTCATTGCCTCTTCCGATAGCTAGTGGTGACTTGATGATCTATGATGATACCATTGTGACTGCGGTATGTCTTTACATGTAGAGTAGTTTGACGGAGATATGTTCTTACATGTAATAGTGTATAGCTGCAAGCTCTCGCTGATCTCACTGCTGGCATGTTGATACTTGTTTCTGTCATGTCACTCTAGTCGACGTGTACTGGTGGAGCATGGTGATAGCATGTACTGTGCCGTGCTTAACACAATCTACGTATATGCTAACTGATGATATGAAACTTACGGATCAGGATTCTCCCCAGTGCCTAACTGTTATCCG